GGGAACAGGTATCTTGTCCTTTCAATCTGACATATCTGAGAGGTAAAATCTTTTACTGCCTATTCTCCCTCTTTATATGTAAGCATGGCCTTTGATTGAATGGCCCAAGAATATCCAGAAAACGTGTGTGATAAATAAAATAAAATTATTATTCTCGGTAAGTCCTGAAGGAAAACAAAACAAAACAAAAGATAGTCTACCTTCCACTGACATGGATGTAAAAGCATGTTTGAAAGTATTTGCCATGTTTTATATTTAAATCCTTAGTGCATACGCTGCCACACTTGCTGTCTTAGATTCTCATAGAAGGGAAAACCATTGTTGGATTATTTTAACAAGCTTTAACATGTTAGCCACTTGGTTTTCCATAACCTTTCTGCAGCTAAGCTTTTTAGCATCATGATTAAAAAATGTAACCTGTTCAATTAGATGATTCCTATGCCATTTGCTGCTTTTGTCATGTTCGTTTTCATGCACATTATCGCCTGACAAATGCAGCAGAACTTTGCTAATTCAGATTAACGACTGGGAGATATACTGCAAATTACTCTATTTTGTGGGTAAGTAACTGAACAAGCAAAATAAAAACCAACGTACATTTTGTGATACATCATTCTTGTTCACTTATTTTGACAACTGTTATGTAATTTTATACTACTTCATAATGTAATATTGTCTGTTTTGCAGAAGTAATGGTGTTGTATGATCTTATAATGAATCATAGGAATAAATACGTTTCTTTGTTTGAAAAACTCAGTCTTTAAATGTGATTCTTAACTAAGTTATTCTGCTATTCAAACCTTTGCATGGAAATACAAAGGCTGCTTCTGCCTAAATTTCATACCCTGCATGAGGGTCTGGTGTAGTGCAAATAAATGTTATAGTTACAATCCCTCTTTTACTGCACCATTTCATAGGTGAGTTTAATTTTACAGAATTTCTCAATGGTATAATAACACATGTATGAGCTATTGGAATGTTTAGTTTTCATCTGGGATGGATGAGAGTTCTTGAATGGTAGTCTCAAAGCTGATGATACTTTCAATATTTGAAAGTTTACAGCTGATGTGTTTTTATGCTGAAATCACTGATAATATGCAAATTATGGAAATTTCAGGTACCATGATAATGGCAATATATATGGTAATGATAGATTCTAAAAAAAGACTTTTCTAGAAGAAAATTTCAAAGAAAGAGAAAGAAATAATTTATTCACTAAAACCAATAGAGTGGTCAGAATGCACAGAAAGAGGTGTTCATTATGTTTACATATAATTTATAACTTACATACCTAAATTTTACCAGTCATCAAGTTTGAATATAATTAAAAGACACTTTTAGTTAAAGGTACATTTAGGCATTTCATGATTACCTGAAGTGCTGTGCATGCATATCATTACAAAAATAAGAAAATTGCATTGTTAGATAAAGTAGCAACTGAGGATTTGAGTTCTGTTTTTTTCCTTAAGGTAAAATTAACAACTTTAAAAAAAAAAATGTTATTGTCCTCCTCAAACACACCACTCTCCATATCAGTGAAACATCTTCTGGTGACAAATCTCAAATCTATAACATTTACCATAAAGAGATGAAAATGTTATTTACTTTTCTTGGGCTCATTTATTTTTTGGTTTTTTTTTTCTTGTAGAGAAAAGAATAATCATGACATCTTAATCAGTCTAACTCAACAAATGAAGGTTACAATGACAAGACAACCTGCTTTAGTTAGCTAATACCTAGCCCACATGAAGGGAAGTCTGTGGCTCTTAATCATTTGTCAGAGGCTGTGGGCCTTACCAGCTGATTTTAGATAGAAGAAACTGAAAAAGAAACATCTGGGTAAAACCTAATTGAAAATTTGGCCATGCACATTTGGCATGAAATTATTTAAGTAAAATACACTTCTTGTGAAAGGATACTCAAATAAATGTTGAAATATTTGTACCCTACTTTAGTACAGTTTCTGGGGAAGAACTGTTTGAACAAGAGGAAAAAATTATATTTGGTAGTTTGGGAAGAGTTGAGTAGGATGCCAACACAGGATCTAGTGAGGTAATGTTTATAAAGAGAGGGTTTTTCTAGCAAGTTGCAACCTTTCTCTAAGGTAGAAAAATGATCTTTTATCAGAAATAAATTTTCTGGAGAGCATCTGTAGAAATTTATAGAAGTTTCTTAATAAATTAAGTTCAAGTGTTCTTTTTAAGAGAGCAGCTCTGCATATCACAGTTCAGTATGGCTGAAATTCCAGAACACTTACTATCTTCCAGGATTTCCTGTAGTGAAACTTCCAAACCTTCTATGACACACAAAAAGTTTGGAGGACAAAATCTTACAAAGTAGATGCTGCTTATAGCAACTTGTAGTCCTTGCACTGGAGAAGAAGCAACACAGACAGTGACAGCTCCCTGTTTGCAGAGAAGAAAGCAATTCCCGAGTCCTGCCAGCAGCACATCAGTGGTGGGAATTGCACAGCCAGGGCCAGAACACTGCACATCACCTCACCCTTCTGGCCCTGCAGCCTCTGCACTCAGCTGTCTCCTTTCATTAACTGGTTCTCTGTCTTGCAGAGCAGCACCAGGAGGGCTGATTTGTATGGCAGGAGCAATATTCTTGGCAAACTTATGACCTTTACCCAGTGGAACCAATGGACAATGAGTCGAGCTGAGTATTTTTATTGACTGAATTTCCACTACCTTCACAGACTTTCTCTCCTGGCTTATTCTTTTATCTTATTATGGACAGAACCTACATTTACTGGACAATAGCTTCCATATTGGTCTCTTTTCATTTCCCAGAAAATATCACTACTACACTTTTAAAAATTACTCAAGACCTGTTCTTTACCCCTCTTTACAACAAATTATTTGTTCCTTCAGCAAATGCACCATATAACTGTCTTTATACCATAGCATTTACACCCAAACACCTAAAGGGGCTGTATTTCAAATATTCTATGTGTTCCCTACAAAACTATAGTAGGCTTACAAAGTTTTAGACATCTTCTAGTTGCTTATAAAGGATTTGTAAAAATTGCCTTTAAAAACAGTTTAGGAACTAAGTTATAGAATTACCATTAATTTTATTTCCCCCTTATTTAAGTTCACATCCTCCATGAAAAACATTACAGTTTTCCATTATAAATGAAAGTAATGACGTGAATAATGGTATTCAAGTCACATCATCTCCAGTTTTTATATCATGATGCAAACTGACCTCATAATTTTGTCATCTTCTGTATTTACAGCCCAATAATGCTTTTCTGGCAGTTCACAAGGGTTACTGAATTTATGAGGCTCTTGCAAGTCAGGTATTTTATGAATACCACCTGCATTTCTCGAAAATGATTTCTAGAGAAATTTAAGTCTACTGTATATACTGGATTATAATAGCATAAGAACTAAGTCATAAATTATACTATTTTGTTTTAAATTTTATTATATGGAAAAACAAGTTTTCATTGTTGATTATATTACCTTGATATGATGAAACACTTTCTTTTTACAGATAATGGTGTTTATTTGTTTTTTCAGTATATAAAATGTACCAAGTACCAAATTGCTTTAGCACATGAATAAAAATAACTTAATAAATCCTGACTTAACAAATGTATGGGCAAAAAAAAGACAAACAACGTAGCTCACACTAAAATATAGGCAATTATAATATCATGAGAACTATAAAATCAATTTTGGAATAAAGAGTCCAAGGTTCTGTGTCAAGGTACCTGCTGTTGCACTCTGTGGACTGTAGTCAATTATCTCTGTCCACTTCATTCAACAGCTCATAAGGAGATGGTTCCTTAGACAACCATCACCCAAGGCAGAGAGGTCTTCTAGAAAAACCTAAGTACCTTGATTTACATGTGAAAGGGAACAGGAATCCAGGATTATTCTTTAACTCTGGTAATACATTGGAAATATATGGCTGTGTCTTGAAATAACATGCATCTGGGTGAACTTGCACAGAAAGTTTCAGATTGTTCACTTCATAAAATCTAATCAGAAGATTTTGAATCCATAAAAATACGGATAGCAAATGGCTGAAAACATCTGTGTGAGGAGAAACACATCCTGCACAACTGACTGAGAGTGAGCTCTCATAAAACATTTCACACTATTGGTAAAATATAAAGTTGTAATTGAAATGTCCTCTCGTCCTATCCCTGCCCCCTAACACACATACATCATCCAGTTAGAACTTGGACAAGCAAAATCCACATTAATGACACCAAGTGAAAGTGAAATAGGACTGCTTTTAAAAATTAGTACACCTCTTGTTCAGGCAGTTAAAAAATTGACAAAGTGATGTTAGGGTTTCACAGGTACAAAGCAGGTCTGAAACTGGACAATTAATCTTGATTGTCTCAACAGTCTCAATGTGATTAATTTTCCTTAGCCACCTTCTCCTCTTGTCATCTCACCTTACATTAAAATCACAGGGGTTTTGTTGCTGATTCCAAACAAAACAGATCAAGCTAAAAACCTGACAGACAAAATATGCTGTAGACAGGATCCGTTTGCTCTATCCCAGAGTGTTGTAACCCCCTCTCCTAACTGGGCTATCTATTGAAAAAAAAAAAAACCCTTTCTTAATAAGCAGCATTAAAATCTTTTGGAACAAATTGATTCCCTGACACCTACAGTCACATACAGAATTCTAGTTCTAAGCCTTCAAAGCAGAGAGGGAGAAAGAAATAGATGAGAGTGTATGTATGTGAGATGAGGACGATTTGCTGAATCACACATCAAAGCAGATGTAGGAGCAAGGCCTGTGTCAGATACTTTAAATACACAGTGGTACATCCAAAACATGCAGAATTCAGTTCTGTGTTCCCAGACAGCTCAGACATACTGTAGACAATGACTAAAATGAGCAGTAAAGCCCTCTGAGAGGAGGTTGCAATTGAAAAGAGATTGAAGATTAAATCAAAGAGTGTCACATTTAATATTCAGAACACTCTAACTGAATCCTTACTGCCTGGGCTATAAATGGAATCTTACCGTGGGTTGGAATGAGAAAGTGGGCTCATTTCTTTCTCATAGTGATGCTCCTGACTGACGGGCTGTGGAAAACAAAAATAATAGATTGTTTAGAACTATGTCAGAGATCTGGTATGAGCATATACATTTGCAGCTTCAGATATTAGCATTTTACAGTCTTTTTTCTTATGTGTGAAATTAAAAATGGATATTCTGGTCCTAACTGTACAATACAACTTTAAAGATTATTCTTGTCGGGGTGGAAATACATATAAATTAAGGAGTCAATCACAGTTATTTCTCTGCTGCCTATGAGAGTGTTGGGACAGTCAGGAAACTTCAGAGACGGAGGGTGGTAAAAGTCTTGTCTGACAGAAGAGTCTGGATTGAACGTATGTACGAAGCATGAGGAAGGAACTCTTGGTAGGATCTGTGCAGAAAGAACCATTTTTAAGTGTAGAAAACTCCAAGGGAGAGGTAAGAGGGCTGGCAGATCAGGTTAGGAGCACCAATAACAGTAATTTTAGCAGTCCCAAATGAAGGTAACTGAAGCACATATGATTCTCCATGGTACTGCAGCTTTGAAGCCTGGATTAAGCTGCTCATGAATAGCTAACAGTGGACTGTATGAATATTCATACAAAATATGATAATTTTCCAGTCAAATCTTACCTACTCATTGTAAGTACATGCCCCAAAAGTTTCAAACTACATTTGGTTTATGGCATTAAAAAGAGTTATTTGCAAGAAAGATCAATATTCATAAACTGACGAAAAAATGCAAGAATTCTAAAGTCCACAAATACATTTTCTCGCAGAATATATGTAGTTCTGCCAGAAGAGATTCTCCCTGCCATTATCACACACCTCTAAAGCAGTTCTAAACAAAATGGAAGGAAATGCAAAAGAAGTGAAAATGTAAGCATATATTAACAATACTTGTACAATTTAGTAGATTAAATGCTAAAATAATAAAAAGTGTTATGAAATGATTTTTTAGAAATGAAAATTAATATAAAAATGAGTATGTCCTCATGGTTTCAGAAACTGGAAAGGGATGTTGTAAAATATATGTTCAAGATGAATGACATCCTAATTACTACCAAATATGACTCACTGCCTGGTGGTGGATAGTGCAATTCCCAGATGATAGCTAGTGGAAGATGAGGACAAGACAGAGAGTGAATTAGTCAGTCTATGAACCAGAATATCTGTCTAAATAATTTTTAGTCTCATTTCATAGTAAAGAATACTCTGCCTCAGTTTTGCAATTTGACTTGATGTGAACAGATCCCTCCAGGGGTTGTCAAACTGAGCTCACAGTTGGCATAATTCCGGGTTTAAATAACACTCCTCTTGTCTGTCAGACTTCAGTTCTGCCAGACTATTTTTGTGTTAAGTGGCTTTCTTTTTGAAAACTCACAAAGGAGGCCAGAAGACTTTCCACAAGCTAGGTATGAACCTGGAAGTACTCTTTCAAATATTTTTCAGATCAAGACTTACGTGACTGAATTTATATTTAGGAAGTTTCTTGTGGAACAAGTAATCTCTGTGAGTACTCCTTACTTGAAAGACAGGTCTTAGTGGTGGGCATAATTTGGATTCTGCTAATGCAACATTATATCACTGTTATACCACTACAAGCTTCCTGGATATATCGGTGAGCAGTTAGGAAAATCTTTCTTCTCCTGTGCATTTCTGACTGAGAAACAGGGACCATATGCATATCCTGAATTCTTGTATAGGTGATTTTTCTCCAGAATGTTTGTGCTGTATCTGAATTGGTGTCTGAAGTGTGGAAACAACTATCCAAGAAGCTCAATGGGCCAATTCTCTGACAGGGCAAAGAAGTCTTACAGGATCTCTAGAATAAAGCAAGGCATTTAAACAGAAATGTTTTGTAAGCTTTGCAAATTTTCTTGGATAATGTATATATGCGTGAGTATAAACTTCACATTAAATTCTGCAATATACAGAACCGTGTCTTTCACAGTGTTGCAAATCTAGCATGGATTTTCATAGGTCTTAAGATTTAAGAAAACATTCAGGTAAGACGTGGTCAAATAAAATGTTTTAAAATATTTAGCTCTACATACACATATTATTGAAACTGTGCCACACACACATTTTGCAAGGGTTTAGAATTCTCCTTCAAAGTAAACCCCTTTTAAAGTCGAAATTTTTCATATTTATAACTCAGGTTATGCTGGGTATATGTATAATATTCAAAGTGATTTTATTCCTTTTTGGCTGTCATAGTTTACAGCAGCAGCTAAACCACTTACATTTCAACATTTTCTCCTGACAGCATATATTCAGTTCTCGGTAAACTATCATAGAATATAAATCCACAGTTTTAGTATATCGGTTTTGTAGTTTAAGGACATCTGTTCTAACTGCAGCTCAGTAATATGATTGATCTATGTGCCTTTACATTCACAAGGGTTTCTCAGATTCATTAAAGTCAGTAACATGACACTTTTCAATGACTCTGGAAATCAGGCTAAAAATCAGGAACAAAATTAAACTCACTTAGAATGTAGTTTATATATAGAATATTACTTTGATACATAAATTCACTATCTAACATGATTATACCCTGCCTTGCCTTGCAAAACATCAAAGGTATTTCAATATTAAAGATACACAAAAAGCTGCCTTCTGGTGGAGCTGTTGCCATAGATTCCACCTAAAGGACACAAATGTATAAAATGAAGAAAAATTTGTGAGAAAATACTCGTTATTTATCTTTGAAAAACATAAGAGAAAGCAATTCATACTACTGATTTAAAGAATCAGAAAGATACAACCTGGAAACACATGTAAGCATGAAAATTTAATCATGACAAGAATTTCAAGCTGTCCTTAATTTCTCAAATTCCAGTATGAAGATTATTTCTATTTCTTGATTATTTCTATTTCTTTTCTCTATACTGCACTGCTAAAATAATTTACCTATGCAACTGGAAGATGGCTACAGATCTGTATCTATATATATCTCTATAAACTTTCCTGCAGTTTGTACATCTGATTTTTGAAGGATTGAGCATTTGAAAACTCTTTTAAATGATGGTGGTACTAAAGATCAGGGACATAAAAACAAATCTGCTTTTATTTTACACATATATTTTTTTACATGATAAATATATATAAGGAATAAATAGTCATATAAGAAACGTACTTTATAACAACTGAAAGCTGAAGAAATGATGAGTTTACTAGTACTGGGGGATGAAGGGATTGAGAGCAGCCCTGTGGAGAATCCCCCTTGGGAGTATTGGGGGATGAAGAGCTAGACATGATCTGTCAAACCAGAATTCCGGTGGTATCCTGGGCTGCATCCAAAGGAAACATTGGCAGCAGGTTCAGGGAGAGAATTGTGCCCCTCTACTCTGCCCCTGTGAGACCCCACCTGGGGTACTGTGTCCAGCTCTGGAGTCCTGTGCACAGGAAAGACATGGACCTGCTGGAGTGAGTCCAGAGCAGGGCTGCAAAAATAATCAGAGGTCTGGAAGACCTCTCCTATGGAGACAGGCTGAGAGAGTTGGGGTTTTCAGCACGGAAAAAAGAAGGCTCTGGGAAGGTCTTACTGCATCCATTCAGTACCTAAAGGAGGCTTTACAAGAAAGATGGGGACAGAGTTTTTAGCAGGGCCTGTTGTCGTAGGACAAAGGGCAACAGTTTTAAATTAAAAGAGGGTAGATTTAGACCAGATGTTAGGAAGAAGTTTTTTATGATACAGGTGGTGAGGCATTGGAACAGGTTGCCCAGAGAAGCTGTGACTGGCCATCCCTACAAATGTTCAAGGCCAGGCTGGATGGGACTGACTGGGTCTAGAGGAAGGTATCCTTGCCCAGTGGTAGGAGGGACAGATTACATAACCTTTAAAGGTTGCTTCCAAACCAAAGTATTCTGTAATTCCATGATTTTAGATCTTACAGAAAGAGAATGCATGACTAAAGACTTTCATTTCAGCTAACCATTTGAATACTGGCACAGCATTGCTACTCTAATATCTTCTGAAATGTTTTAAGCATATCAAAATATATTGACATTTAACATCAGCATACCAACAATTCCCCCAACTACTCTTCTAAAAGCTTTTATGTTAAAAGAATGTGGGGTGATTAAATAATCACCTCCATTAACAAATATTGTTACCAGCCTTCTTAGATACCAAAGGTCTACAAAGTGAATTATCACCCTCACATAGATACTCTGCATTTTTCCAAATGTTGGAACAGAATTACACCAAGTAGTGTTAAATACACAAGTCTATACTCAAAAAACTTCCATCATATCTATGAACAGCTGGTGCTCTGGCTGATATCTCAGCAAGGAAAATATGAAGTGAAACTGGAGATTCTGGGAAGTCACTGACACTGTACTGGTACAGTGTTGCTCTCCATAAAGGCTGAGGTAAATGGGTATAGCATACCAGGAAAGCTGAATTTCTTTGTTTTTGGGAGAGACTAAGTGGTTAGTCTTTATCTGAGACAGATGAGATTTCTTTCCTAAGTTATCCCTCCTTGGAAATGAGGTTCTTGCCATTTAATCTTAAACCCTTAGTGTCCACCTTGCAAAATGCAGAGGAGAAACCTGACAAGACTGAATGTGTAAGGCACACCAAAGTCTTCAGTCAGATGAATGAAATGTGAAGAACTCTCTCAAAGACAAAATCTTGCCTTTTATGCTTGAATTAAGTAGAGAAAGATGGCCATAAAACCTGTTATGAAAACGACAACTTTTTAAAATTGCAATTTATATTACTAACCTATTATATCTAAACACCATATTAGATTGAAGCTACAGAAGTTGATCAAGGCAGTAAGATCAAAGAACAGTCTTTGCAATCACATTGTGCTTCACTGAATACTACAGCAGTACATTTTACTTTAAAAGTTCGTTTTGTTTTAGCCATGTAATTTGTATTAACCAAACCTGACATGTCTAAATATTCTTATCAATTTCCTTATAATTAAAGTATTAAAAAAATAATGAGACTGCTATTCTCTATATTTAATTGAGTTCCATTTGTCTCGTCTTGCAGATTTGTGCCATATTTGAGCCTATTTAATGAATATGGAGAAAACACATTGGAAATATTAAATTAACAAAATGCATAATGGAGATGTATATCAAATAGTTAATATCAAATAATGTTTCTCTGATGTCCTGCAAAATATTACTCTGTAAATCAAGTTATTATTTGTACAATTACCCACTTATCAACACATTTCTTCTCATTTGAAACCTTCATTTAACAAGGTACTCCAAAGTTCCAGTACTGTTGGTCCTTCACTATGTAAAGTTGCTGCTGCAGGCCTCTATTTGGATCCTGTAGAACCTTGAAGGTAATTTGCACCTAATATTTCAGAGCATTTACTCTGCAATAGTTTATACTGGGATTCTTCTAAAGTTGGATTTGCCTCAGAGTTGGGCTGTGTGCTTTACTTAAGCCACATTCATTGTTTATTATTGCTTCAACTGTAATAAAATAACAGCTATATTGCTGATATATAAATGGAGTATGAGGTTATCTAGTTTTACAGCATCTTCTGCTAGTACCTTTATATAGTTATTGAAATGTTATTCTGTGCTTTCATACATTCAATACTTGTTGGTGGACTGCAACAAATACTCTGCTTCTTCCAGCAGTAGTCACATAGTGCAGCAGTGTGTGATTCTGTACCACTTTGTACCAGGACAAATAATGATCGAGGTGTAAAATACATAATGATCACATACTAAGTGCTCAGAACTACTGCAGTTTTTTGCTGCTTTCTCCTGCTTCAGTTCTTTAAACATTTAGCTTCTCAGTAATGAGACTTTATCATTGTAAGAAGCAATTATTTTCCATTACTCACACTGTAACGCAGCTGCTGACTGGTATATCTGGGTTTCATTCATTCTGGAACTATTTTTAAGTACTGTATCACACACTTGCAGGTTTTCAGCCACTATTGTGACAAACTGTACAGCCTACATGATCATTCAGGATTCTAGGAAGGAATACACACAATAGATTTGCTCTTTATTCATGGTGGTACTAGAGAACATGCTGGAAGTGTGTGTATCTTGGTTCAGTGTTTCACCTGATAAGTTCTAAGAGCCTTTCGTAATGATACCTTAAATTTCAACTCTACTCAAAGAAAATTTAATACTGAAGACCCCTGAGAAAATACAGTGGGTTTAGACTTACTGGTGGGAAGCAAGAGTTCGAGGTTGCTGTATCATCATCACTGCTTATACTTAGGCTGACATTGTAGCAACTGATCTGTGAGGTGCTCAGCCCATGGGAGATCCCAGCATCCCTTAATTCTTTATTTTGTTGTCTCTTCATGCTGGCCAGCATCTGTAGATCAGATGAACTCAGTCTATTTGACTGGTACTTTTTCCTGTCATACTCCTGTAAAATAAAATAGGAAAGTCAACAATATAGATAGGATCACTGAAAAGAATAGATGAATTGAATGAAACCCAGAGAGACCTTGGAGAATCTCTCAGAGAATCTTCAAGAAGCTTTAATACTGAAAGAGAAACAAAATGTTTACTAGAAAAAAATAGTTTACATATCTCTGTTCAGCTATGAAGATCAAGCATATTTATACACAATTACAGGGAGGAAGAACATCACAAGCACTGTAAAGAACTGCAGTTTTGATCCAGGGTGTTTGGTGAAGTTGATGTTCCACTGCAATTAAAAACAGAAGATGAAAGCAGGCTTTAAGTTCAAAAATCCATCAGCTATTAAATACAAACCTCGAATTAAAGCCAATCCCACAGTTATCACAGTATCATCAACACCATCAACATAACATTTAGTTATTGGTCAAGCACAGCATAAAATTTCTTTGGAAAGACATGTCAACACTAAATTTCAAAGGTTATTCTGGCAGTTTGCTAGTGCATGAATTTTCAAGTAAACTTCAACATCTTTTCACTTTTCTTCAAATCCACTGGTGAAATTGTTAATGTAACCCTAATTGTTATACCAAACTTGATCCACAGGCCAAAAACTGCAAACACATACTAACCATTTTGCAGCTGGTACTTAAGCCTCGCTCAAAACCTTAAGGTAAGATAGTTTAAAGTCACCTAATCTGCTGTTGGCACTATCTTTGTTTAAAGAATTCCTTATTTAAGAAAAGCTTTCCCTTTTTTAAAGGGTCTACATAGGGATCTTTCACAAAGGAAAAGTCTAATAGTTGAGACATTTAGTTTCGGTTCTAAACGTAAGTACAAAGCACTTTTCCTTGAAAAGTGAATGCAGGCAGTGACCAGGACTTGAATGGATTTAGTTCACTGGAATATTGGCCAGTGGGCTGTGAGACACTATATAAGAGTATCCCAAAGAGGGACAGAGCTTTGATTCTGGTGAAGGAAATGGAACTTTTAGACCAGGAATGTATCATATTCCTGGCAGAAGGAGGATCCCTCAGTCTCTTTTGCTGTGAGAAGGCATCGGGTAACTGAAGACCTCAAGGACACACCCAAGTCAGCAGTACAAGTGATAAGAACACTGACAACTTCTGCTATAATATGCAGTGTGTAATGTTTTAGCATGTCTTTGAGGGGTACAGAAATCACCTTATCACCAGAATTCATAATGAAATTATAATTCCTTTGCATTCTTCCTATGTATATAAGATACCAGGTGCAAAAAGAAGACAGAAGATACAAAGCACAAGATGACAGAAGCAGTTTGCACAGCTACCATTCTTCTTTTACCCCAGCTAATGAGGTCCAAGCTTAATTCCTGAATATTATGATTATTACTACCATTTTTAACCCTAAAATAATATGAGATGTTTTCTCTAGACCCTTTCTGAATGCCTGTTACTAGCTCAGTGACTGTTAGTCATCTGTTCACCTCACCCAAAGGTCTCTTTGTTTTGCCTGGGGAGCCTGCTTTCCTCTGATGTATCAGTATTCTACCAGATCTGCAGCTGCTGTAACTTTTATTGATCTTACTGAACATTCTGATTTCCTGTTAATTTTCCTATATATAAACCTTCTGCAGTTATTTGATTATTTTAAGAGAAGCTTTGGCTTATCTTTCTTCCTTCATATAATTGGTATGCAGTCATTAAACTGACAGAATGAACTGGTGCTCTGCAGAATAAAAACACTAACTATTGAAAGAACTTTTTTTTCTGATTCTCTTTTTAATAAAAGCACAAAAAATTGCCCAAACTTGCTTTTTTTTTCCCTTTACATCTATGAAGAAAGATGCATAGATTTTTGGAATCATTACAGCATAATTCTAAACATCTGCTGTTCCCCCACCCCCTCCCCAGCTTATTTCAAATTGTCATTCTGTTTTCTTTTCCTGTAATGGTCTCACTGAAAATACCACACTCAGGAAGGAGGAGATGGTACGACCATTTTCTGTGTTAAACATCCTCTACAATAAACTAATGAAGGAGAAATAATTTGGAATATTTATTTTTCAACTTCAGATGACTACTACCAAAAAGCCTCTTCAAAAATTTTGTATTGTCTTTGTTGGTTTTCAAAGAGAGAATTTGAAAACTGAATTTGAAATTAAGTTAACTTTGTAATTTAGGAAAATCTTTTGATGTAAGAAGTAATTTTGCAATACTTGTAAATTTGTCTAAAATTCATATTTCATTTAGTAATTAAAAGCTTATCTTGTCTATTTGCATATCCTTCCCTTACAATAAAGTATTTTTTATTAAGCACTTAAAACTTTTGCTAGATTGATAAAACCTGTTGTTTAAGGATTTTTTTCCCCGTATATAATGACATTTGCATTCTTCTAGGTTCAAATGATTTATTCAGCATTGTTTGAATGTAGTTATATATGTGGAAAACTTTAATTACCAGCTATCTACATGCTTGCAATATTACCCAGAGGGCTATACTTCTTTCTTAATTAAAAATATTTGAACTTAATAATAGAGAACTCTATTAAAACATGAATAAAACATTGCAAGAAACCAGGTCCTTAAAGCGTATTAAGCAGCAGGCAAATCAACTGCAGAAGACTTGGTTAAGCACTTTTTTTCCTTTACTAGTTCTCTGTATAAGTACCAAAAGAAATGTCAAAGAACTCCAAGGAAGGGCTTCCATAAAATTTTAAGACTTGATCAAATCAAGCACAAGATCTAGATCTGCTAGATATTTTAATCCTACGTTTTGTAGCAATAAAACAAAGTTTGTAGCTAATGAGTTTCTATACATTAATAATAGGATTTGTTCTTGAAAAAAATACAAGCAACAAATCACATTTGCAATAAATTTAGAGCTACAAGTGCAGTATGGTAATAACCTCATTGTCGAAATTAGTAATCAACTATTGCAATCCACCTAGAGGGTCTACATTTAGCTGTGTTCTACAGGACAAAGTTGATGACTGCATTAAACACTGATAATATCTTTCAGGAAAGTAATAAACATACTTGAATTGTAAGTGGAACAATTTTCTAAAACTTGAAAGTATCAGGAAACAAGGAATACATTTAATCTCAAAGATGTAAGTAGCTACTGGAAAAAAGAAAAAAACTAAATTTCTATAAAATACAATGGGAGGATAAGGGAATGCAAAACATAAACAAATTTTATCATACACATTCACTACATATTACCATCTCCAAGAAGATAATCAGATTATTGATATCAACTGGGGCTTTTCCTATCACTGAGAATTACAGAAAAATTCTCTGGTTTCCAAATAGAAATGAACTCATGCATTGCTTTCTTCCACATTTTCTACATCACTAGTGGCAATTCTAATGTCTTTTCCAGATCATAAATACATAGAACATATGCTGCTATTAATAGGATTTTTTTTGCTTTTTAATTTTTTTGATTTCATAATCTTTAAAATCACCAACCACTGATACTTCTCATGATAATAAAGTCTCAGCACTGTTTCTGATTTTCACTTGCACTACTGAGTTTCATTTCCCTTGCTTCCTCCCAGGCTATTTCCTTCCCAAAGGAAACCAGTCTCCACAACCTTAATGGAAAAGGATGTTCTGTTTTATCAGGAAAAGTGCAGGGCCTTCACCAATTCAATGAACTACTTGGAGGATACAGGAAGAGATTTCCAGAACCCCCAGTGTGTGAGAACCTCCCAGCACTGGGAGACCCATAAACCCCAGCCCCTGCACCAGTACTAAAAGAGACTCATTTCACAAAAAGCACATCCATGGCAGGGCAGGATGAGCATTTCCCCGTCAAGGACACACAGAAAAGCTGGACACACTTTCCTGGACACTATTCTTTAATCTGGTGCCCTATTCAGATTGCTCCTCCCAGCTCTGTGCCTGGATTTCCATGCCCAAGTTCCAGGCAGGCAGGTGGAACCTTTCAGTGGGATGGCCCTGCCCCAGCAGCAGCAGCAGCCATGTCCCATGGAAATCATCACTCCTGCTTCCCTTTCACAGAGGCTGTCAAATCAGGTCACTAAAATTAACTGCATCAACAGGTCACAGAAACGCTACATGAAAATTTCCCCAACAGAATCGTAGCACACTCCCTTTCCTACAGCAGATGAGACAAACTACAGGGACACAAAAATTATAGATGAGCATTTTCTTCATGTAAATGAAATACAGATAATATTCTAAGACATTAAAGTAGAAAAAAAATTCCAAACAACGCTTAACTACTTCATAGAGTCCCTCAAAAAGAGAAGAGTCTATTCTTTTTGTCCCCAGAGGTGTGATATACCTGGGGACCAACAATATTATAAGAAATTCAAGATATATGCAAGATATTAGAAAACAAAACCCATGCTACAATAATGATCATGCAGTAGTTAAATTCAACATCTCTGGGTAAAATGATCAAAAAAAAATTCACAAAACAGCAATCCTAGGACTAAGTACTATGAAATTCCTGCAAGGGAACACAATACAGAGCCATGAAGCAGGAAGTGGCACAGGTAATAATATTAATAAAAGAAAAAAGTCGTTGTTTTTTATAACAAACAGAAGAATCAGAAAGCACCAGGAATGAGTCAATGCATTTAAAAAAATGAAGATACATATTTTTCCCACAAATAGCAGTTAAAGTCTGAAATTCACCGCCACAAGTCAAAGGCCATATAGATGCAAAAAGCAAACACAAAAATCTGTGGAAAAAAATTGGACCACCAGTTATTCACCACAGACACCACCTTTCCTGAAGAAATGGCTAAGCTAAGAACTGCTAGAAGGAAGCCTGCAGGGCCCTGCTGCTCAGGTACCCCCAGGTGCTTTCCCTGTCCTTGCCCTGTTATTCTCTGCAGCCATCTCTGGCTGACTGTTGGACAGAAGCTGCCTGGCTCTCAGTCACATAATTTGTCATTGCTCAGGGCTGACACAGAGACCATGAAGTACCCAAATTAACACTCCTTCTGTGGTCATTTGTTAATACAGCAATTTAAAATCTGCCAATTTTCCCCTGTAACCTTTCAGCCCCAAACTATTTTCTAACTCATATATTTCCAAAATGTGAGTTGCTCAATGACACATCTTTTTATCTAACCTTTGTGATTTCTGTTATATTTGGAGTATTATTTTTTGTGCCACAAACCCCTAAAAAATCAACTTTCAACAGACTGAGCACAGTAAATGCTGTTGTGATGAAGCCAGAATACATCTAAATGAAAGATGTACTATTAATCACTTTATGCAAACGGGTATATCTAATAAGCTTCTCCATAAAGTCCACTAATTTAATTTCAAAGTAAAAATCACTTACACAAGTCTGTGCTGTCAGACATGAACTTCCTTTTGAGACTTTCTTGAGAGATGTTTTACTGACAGATCTTTCTAATTGATCTGAAACTCCTTCATATCTTTCAGTTTCTTCATATACATTTCTAATTACTCTAAAGGATTTGGATTTACTTTGAATTGGAGAAAGAGAAAGGATAGGCTTTAAACTTCTCTGAAAGCTAATAGATTCTGTTTTTCTCATGGTGGAACTCTGCGGTGTTGATAAGATGGCCTCTTCGAAGTTATATTTGCTGTGTTCCTTATTCTTCCAGTATTCATTTCTCTGTGACATCCTATTTAATGGGATCTCTTTAAAAACTGCTGAATCAGATGTTCCTTGTCTACTGTGGCTGTTCTCAATGTTCTCAATACTCTGGCTGAATTCACTGTTGTCATCCTGAATTTAGGAAACAAAGCAAGAGTGGTTGATTCCCTCTCATCATTACACAATTCAGTTTTACATAACCTTAACACTTCAAAATCTCTCTTTAATCTCTGCTTCCTGTTTCTAAATTTACAAGGATTCTGAAAAACAGCTGCTTTTCCTGGCAAATACACTGACTACACCATAAACATATTCTTACATCTGAAGCTGATAACTCTTTTCAAAATCTCAGGGCAGATTTTGAATGCTGGTAACCTCCAAAACCTGTGTCTTACCTGACAATCATAATTTCAACAGAATTCATTACAACTGTACACCAAAACTAAGCAATGAGTCCATGACAATGATGTCTTTCCATTGAATTATTAATATTCCATATTTTCACACTGCATCTTCAACTTAAACACAAAAGAAATAACTCCTACTGCGATCACTTTGCTCTGCTCTAGTAATAATATGGTACTGGATATCACATTCATTACCATTTGAATACAATTTAAGAATTTTAAAGGTTAGTTTATTAACCTTATATCCATGCTTCTAACAATGTCTCTGCAAATATGTCCCATGAATCAAGGGTATGATGTTCACTCATACCCCATCTCAAAAACAATCAGCAGGACTGAATAGATGGAAAGAGAAATAATGCAGGAATGCATTTAGTGTTTGCCTCAGTGTTCTTATTCTCAAGAAAGAAAGGATGAGAGCAGCCTCATCCTCATCCCATGATGCTGCTCCTCTGCCATATGTTCCCACATAGGATTTAAGGCAGTATCACCTGCAGTGTGCCTCTCACAGCTGAGGTGCAATCCTGCTGCACATTGAAGTGATCCAAGATTGTTACTGACTTCAGTGAGTCCAGGATTACACAGCATGAAATGTACATTCAAGAAGATAATCCTCAGTTTTATTAATGGTACACATTTTGGAAATTTATAGTTTTAGTCCCTCAGGTATTTTGTAAAACAGTTAAATTCAGTCCATCTTGCTATTATGCACTCAGTTAGATTTTATTTCTCTGCTGTGAACTACAGATTCAAATGCTAAGAAACACATTTTATAGTTAAATGTGAAATATACCAGAATGTTCATAAAGGTAGGAACTTTAGCAGTTACTGTGATGACATAATGAAATTATTGCATACATTGACAATTCAGCAAGTTCCTATAATAGTATCAGATGATACTAGATAGATATACTAAAAAATTGTTTGTTTTCTTTCATTAATTTCATTGCTGGAAGATTTTTGCATTGCAAAAGAATTAAAGTTGGTGATGCTCAGACAGGTTATGTAGCAGAAATACCAATAATCAAGTGACATTCAAAAGCTGGAATTTTGTAATTCACTTTCAACAATGTAAATGAGCAAAACCAGGCTCCATTTGCAATTTTAAAAGACACAATGAAGTCTTATTTATTGAAGTCTTGTGCAACCATAAAGGACTTGGATCTCACTCAAATCTATGATGCAGGCTTTCCTAGAATCTTTTTTGTACTAATGATGCACAGTTCTGGCATCTCTCTGTTAGCACAGGGGCTGACAGAGTTAGGTATCTTTTGTCAACTTGTTACACAGGGTACACCTGCATTGAGTCCTGTATCTGGTTAGACACAGCAACCTGACAGAGACAAATCCACCCGTTGGTATATGGGGAAAAGATGATTTATCCTCTCTGTCTGGCCTGAAGACAGAATCTCATCCTAGGAGTTTTAGGATGAGGACTGCTTTATCAAGAGTTACATGTGCAAAGTGGCCTACCTCCTCACTGCTTTCAGTTCCTTCAAAGCTATCTTCAGTTGTGGTTTTCTCATGTTCTCCGTTACTGTCTAGCTCCAATTCCAATGGGAAAACACAACTTTCTGGTGATAGATTTGGAGACTTTCCATAAGGAGCTGATCGAGGTTTTGATGAAAATGTGAAAACCTCTTTCTTATTCCTGTGATCATCAGCTGTTTCCTGGCTGTGATGTTCAACAGAGGCATTCTGGGTTGAGGGTAAATTACAGCAGGCTGAACTTCCAGTAGCTCCAGAGTGCTCCTTCCTATCCAACTGAATATTCTCAGTGAACCTCTCTGGAAGCACCCATTCATCTGAAATATACAATTTCAATGCCAAATATGTAAATTGTGAGATACTCTGATCATTCTCGTTTTCTCAGAAAGTTGTACAGCAAAGTATAGTTTTTCTAATATAGAAATATTTTGCCTATCAAAGAAGAATAAGAGTGATGAGGATGCAATGAAAAAAAGATCAGGTGCTTTCAAAGTGCAGCAAGATAATAAAAAAATTCTAAACAGAGCTCAAAAAGTATACAGGCTTTGGTTCAGGATATGCAAGTTTGCAAACCTCAAACTGTTTAGCCATCAAAATTTGAAACGGACAGCTGAATTTTATTCTAGGAAAGAATGATTTTATTAAATATGGCCATTGATCTTTTTCTATAGGCATTTTTTGCATCTGACATTTAAAAAATAATCACACATTGGTGGAAAGTTCATAATATTACAATCTGCTCCTTCTTTATTGCTGAAATTCCACACTTTTACATTCAGAACTTATGGTTTAAATCTCAATTTCAAACCACTGTTCTGATAGAAAAGGGTGACATGAAAAATGTATAAAGATATCTGTTTTACCAGGTTTCCCTGAATATAGTCACAACTAATCTGACAATTTTAAAACAAACAATAAACTACAGAAATGGATTTAAAGATTGAGTGCACCAGATACACATGAAAAGACCATTTTTATATTCTTATTGTTAACTTATATTTTATTGTTTGGAATGATGGTATAGAAAAAAATGTCAATTTGATTGATTACAACCAATCTCAAATAGCATCTAAGAAAAGGAGAATTGCTCAAGTATGCAATACTCCCTTATCTTCATTAAAGGTAGTGTGGTGTGGATTATTCACTAGATATTGAAACTTTCCAGCTCCATAAAACAAAGTTACCATCAACCATATTAAAAAAAGTCAATGAAAAAATACTAAAAATGTAATAATAAAGTAGCATTGCAATAATAAAATGCTTGCCACCACAGAAGACAGTAAGTTTAGTGTGGTATTTTGTGCTTTACTGTGATATTTTACTTTTAGTTTTGTTAGAATTACCACTTCAGGCACATTCAGCAGCTTGGGGTGGTGGGGAGGTGGGGGAGAAAGTCTGAATCACCATAAATGAAGGCAAAAGAAAGAAGAATGAGATGCCAGGAGAATTAGCTGTCTTCTTACTGGGTTGCTGTGATTTTTTCCAGCATACTGAAGACAGCTAATAACTACCAAACTCCAGTTAATATCCAGGAACCAGTGAAAAGTCGGGACTTGACCTGTCTTGTATGACTATGGCTTGTGTCTTCTTGTTCCAGAAAAGACCATTTTTCAATCTCTTAATGAAAAACATCTTTAGTAAGAAACCCCAAGGCTTTTCAAGTAAACTCTTGTTATATTAGAAAATCATTCTGGTTTAAAACAATGTAGTAGATTGTGCTTTTAATTATTATAAGCCTTGAAAGCTGAACATGCAAGTGGTTCCATTTATTTTATAAATATTTTGGACTAGTTTTTCCAAGAGCATAAAGAAATGAGTGAAACTACTCAAAGCTTTTAGGAAACACCATTAAATAAACCAAATGACTTTTAGTTCTGATCTGTAGCCACAGGTTCTTCAAAGGAGGATTTTGGAGCAGAATTCTCCAGTCTCCTATCATTCAGGATTGTGTCACACTCCTCTGATAACATATTTTTCATAGGCAATTGGAATTACATCTGAAGGGTACATGAATAAAGCAACTGAAATCATAAGAGAAAACACAGTCATGAACATTTCACAGATTTTATGCTTTTGCTATACTTTACTATCTATATAAGCTACCTTTATTAAGCAACCATTTCCCCTATAAAAATGAAATGAGAAGAGGGATCTTTTCATGAGCTTTTCAAGTGAGGCCGAACACAGTATTTGGATACACAAGAACAAAGACTCAGGAACTGTTTTTTCCCCAACTGATTCTGTGACCTAACATGATTTAAAACTCTGTCACACTAAATCAGTATTTTCAATTACTCAATTATTTATCCTGTAGGAATCTCGCCCACCAAGACTGAGGTTGTTTTGAAAGTCTTCGGCCCTAGAGATGCTGCCTTGTTCACAACTCCAGAAAGTCCTACGCAGAAATGCCACAAAAATATGATTTATCCCCAAACTTCAACTGGACAACTCTTCTGGATGTAAAGGATCTTTCCCCCACCTATTTCGGTTGCTAAGTCTAAAATGATGTTTACTCTTTTTCCTAAGGCAAAGATACTAAAATTTTTACTTGTGTTTTTCAAAACAAACAAACAAAAACCTTCAAAAGTTACCTAGCTAAGAAAGTTTTTGTATTTTTTCTTATCTCACCATTTTGCAGTCTTCTTTCCAGTCTGGCACCCACCCTTTCGGATTAATCTAGACACATTTTATTAGATTTCCCTGTCAGTGTTTTGACTAACACCAAAATACATAACATAAACTTCTTCAGTATTCAGAAGGTCTTTTCCCCATCATAAAATTAGATTTGACATTTCTCATGCTGCCTTCGTGGTTTACAAATATGCACTAACAGCTCAGGCCACTGTAAAGAGCCCTCCAGGGTATGGTTATACACTTAGTGTACAACCTACTTCAGGAGGATTCACTAATTCTTATGCACATAGAACTGGGAAAGAGAAGAGGAGTGGCTGAATTGTTTTGTCTACTGACTTAGCAACAACCCACTTCCCACACGGCAATCTCACCTGTTCTAGTCTCCTTCTAGAATAACTTCCAATGCAGTTGTTGCTGTTTAATTTGCAGAGGACGTTACAGATAAAATTGTGTAATGAATACTGAAGGAAACAATGTGCTTTTTAAGATTTACAGTCAATTTTTAATGAAGTATCAAAACATGGAAAAGAAACCTTAGAGTAACAGTTTTTGTCAAGTATTTAGAGAACATGAGGCAATTAGAGCCTTAAACTCCTGACTTCTACTCCTGCCTCTGCCTCAGACATCCAAAAATTTCTTACACTTTAGTCACCATTATAATGTTTTGCCCAGACCAAAAGGAGTTCAGAAATAGAAAGAATTATTTAAAAATTATTACTATCTATATAATATTAGCCTGAATATTCTGCCTTTTTAGTCTAAGCCATCTGGTAAAGAACTACATTAATTTCCAGAGTTGTTGAAGAAATATACTTTCATTAAGTCAAACCCAAACATTCATTTGCATAGCACAGTACTTACTCTTAATGAAATATCCAGGGGGCAGGCAGAAAAGTCTGTATGATTTGAAGATGACATTTTATGCTGGTTACAGAGTTCAGCAACATCTGTAACCTGTAGTCAGTGTAGCACTTTTTCAATAGTCCACAAGTGAAAGATATGGACCAAATGAAATACCATTACCTCTCTAACAAAATCTATACCAGAATTTCTTTTTAACTCATAATTTCCATGTCAATTGTAATGAATAATTTGTAGTACATTCTGAGAAAAATATGCAAACTACTAGGTAATCACAACATTGCAGAAAACAACATAAATGCAAGAATGATCACCTTAACATCTCATTAGCTCTTTTAGACAGTCAGACTTATGCTAAAGCTTCTAATCGCAGCCTAACATTATAATGAAGGTTTCAGCACTGAGTAAATAAGATTGGCATAAACAATGTTTACTCATTTTGTTTCTTCTCTCAGGTCAAGTTTATCCCACTTTGGAAGAAGTCCAGAACAAAGCTTAGAAGAGGACTTTCCTGATGAAGAAGTTGCTTATAGGAAGTCCTTCAGAAAAAAGAAATCCAGTACTACTAGATAAAGAAATCATTATTTTATCTACATAAAATTAGATAGCATCATATATTGAGGAGAAACTGAAATCTGCATACTGAGAGTGACAACAGTGACAAGCAATGAAAATATGGGGAAAAAATTTTGTAGAACTGTACCTTACAAACTCACATAATGCATTTATCTGCCTATACACACAATTAAGATTATAAAGAAACAGCTTTGATTCTTGCAAACACAAACAGCAAAAGAGCAGAGTTTACACATAGCTTTCTTCCTCAGTTCTCTGCCTCTGAATTTATGAGAGGGCATTTAGACAGGGCAGTCTACTGCCCTAAGGCTGTCTTTTCATATCACTTACATTTTATACAAAACAACAAGTGTTGATTAATTTTTCTAAAATTCTGACACTAGCTAGAGGTCCTGGTGTTCTAAATGAAAAACAAATTAAGACACTGATTCTTGCCCCAGAGTTCTCAAAATTCAGGTAAATAGGAAGGAAGTAAAAAATTCTCCAGAAGAATTCTCTATTTGCCTGAACATCTTGCAACCCTTTCAGTCAAATTATGGAATACATAATAGCAATTATGGATTACTGAAACTGCCATAGTATACAATCACTTCTAAATATCCCCAAAGAATAAACACAATGGAAATCACTCACAATATGAAGGAAAATCTCGTTGGTCAATTTTGAGCACATTTGAGTAGTCCAATCACTTTTCAAACTGGTGGCTATGCCTCCTAATAAAAAGTAACACTACTTTTTCACAGAGACAAGGTATACTTTTGCCACAATAATGCAATTCCCAGACTCATGCAAAGGAAGTTGACTGACACTATATGACAAAAAAATCCACACTTTTTGGCAGACAGGTGAGAAAGGGAAAAAACCCAAAACATAAGCTGCGGTGTCTTTGTGTGACTAAGAAAATAAATAAATCACCACTGTACTCTATAAACAAAACAACCCTTCCCTTTTCCTTTCCCCCTTCACCGCCCAATATTACATAGGTACTGTAGTTAATATTCTAAACTCTTATCTGGGACAAGTAAAATTTCTTGTACATTTCATATTTGAAGTCTTCAGTGTTAAACTTATTAGGGATTTAAAGAATAAATTATTTTTAGTTCTTTTCCTTTAATCATGAGAGCATGGAATTTTTCTTTTGATATTCATTCACTGCTCTGGTACTCTGCTTAATCCTTCAAATCTTTATCAATGCTCAAAAGCAATTCTGTTGCAGGATGCTTTATTTCCATAATCCCCCACAACACAGGCATTTATTTTTTTATATTAACTGCTTTTGGGTCCTTTGAAATTCACAACAGATAGTCCTTCAGACCTGAAATGTAAAGTAACATAAAATGAGTACCATACCACTGGTTATCTCCCATGCGGGTTTGGCTGCATTTTTTAGAGATAATCTTCTAGGACTGTTCTTGTCTGATGATGGTACTTGTGGTGAGGTGAGCTGAAAATCTGCTCCTCCACTCACAGATGTTTTCTGAGTCTGAATTTCAGGGTCTGAAATGCAATGCAGAAATTAAATGCCTGTGAAGACTCATATTGTGTGCATATGGGGCATTGTACTGGGATGCAAACATCTAAACAGCATGGGAATCTTGCAGGGCAGCAGGAACAAGGCAGTCACAAGGAAGGAAAAATTTAACACTAGGTATGAAAGAAGGGAAAGCCATAGTAATTATAAAAACCAGGTTTGCAAAAGTCTGCAAAACAATCAAAAACAACTGCAGCAGCTCAGTTATTTTCACAGCATGAGAAAAGACGAGCATGTGTATGAATTGTGCCTACTGCCAGCAGGTGATGATCCCTGGCTCAATCACTGACAATACAAATAGCTGCAGAGAGAATGAGCATTTATTCACCCTCATACAGGAGAATAAGTCATGATTTAATGAACATGTCTTTAGTAATTAATTAAGTAGATAAAGGATTGGAAAAAACAAAGAATTAAGTCCTTGATTCAAGGGCACAATCACGCAAATATTTGGCAGTTTGAAAAGTCTACATAGTCTTTGCTTTATGCCCTTACCATTTTGATATTCATTTGTCTGGAGAGCATTTGCTTTGCCTCCTTGATTCAAAGTATCATTGCATGGACAGACTGATAGTTCCAATCTCTCAGTTTCTGGTATGGATTCAGTTGGCATTCCTGGATTTTGAAGTTGGCATGATGTTTTGTTACCCAAGATCTTTGTTACCTTGAAAGACATTATTTCTTGATGAAAGACAAAAATACAACAGCTTTCAAAATATTCAAAGGTAAAACACACATTATGAATTACACTTATTTTTAAAATATGTATTTCCAAATATTTTTTAAAATACTATCTTTTCAGAAAACTTCATAGTAGGTTTTATTTAGTGTGGTATCTTCAATCTTTACAGTCAAGTAGCAGGCAGAGGTTTTTTTTTTACTGAGTGAATGGAACAATGCAAAGAAAAGGGAAAAACATTAAAATTCACTATCAGAATAAAAAGACTAAAACTGGTAGTTATTCTAGACCTCAGGAGTCTTTTCTTCTTCTTTCTTATTTTACATCTTGACTTTCAAGTGACTTCCTACACAAGAGTTGGCTGGATCCTTTATTCTTGGTGTTAAACTGAAAACTGTAGTCCTGACGAGATTCCAAAAACCTGCATATTTGTTGCTGGCAGACTGGGATCAGGTGTTTCCCCTGGCATTGTAATTGACAGCATCACATGAGCTACTGTAAGGCTGACTATCAGAGCATCCTGAAATGTAATTTCTGCCCTGCCTTATATCTCTCATCATAAGGAAGAATATTTACATACACATACACAGAAATTTTAGCAGTCTAGAACTAAAAATTCAGAAAAGTAAGAATGATATGAAATCACAGAGTAATTTCAATAGAAAGAGGCATCTTTACATCTGATGCTGAAATTAGATCAGCCTGTTTCATTCAAGTGTTGATGTCTTCAGAAGTTTTGAAATTCTGCAATCTCTTGTGACTCTGTTGCAGTACTGATCCACTTCTTTATTGTACTTTTTCAGAGCCTCCCTGCAATTAGAGCCTGCTGCCTTTGGCCTTTCAGGGCACCTCTTAGAACAGGCCTGGCTTCTCTACAGCCCTGCATTCACTGAAAATGGCAATCAGATTTCCTCTTAGCCTTCTCTCCAGTGGGCTCAATAAACCCATGCCCTGTGCTGGAGTCATTCATGCATTTTCCTTGCCCTCCTCTGGATGTTACAGGATCTCTGGCACTGCAGGCCCACAACCTATCACATTCTCTGGAGGCAGCCTCTGAAATTAAGCTTTAGTTTAACTCCTCTGCTTATCATTATCTTCCTTTGCAAAAGTGCCAATGTTGCTGTTGGCATTTAGCCCTTCTTACCTTTCCAGGTACCTTTGCATTGGTTCTTCTATTTGAAGATGGAGGTGGCCCAAAGATCTTTGACCCAAATGCAATATGTGAAACATCCTGAGTTTTACCATTGCATATGTTGCCTTGGCCTCTATTACCCAAGACACCTAAGTTAAGAAAATTAAGAGTTAAAAAAAAAAATTACAGTACTTACAAACAATAAAAATTAGTATTTTTTAATTTTGAATCAACTAAAATAAAAGAATTACAAAACCTAAACATATATAAAAGTTGTGTTCCTTTAGAGTGCACTCCCTAGAAATATAGGAATAGCAAATGCACATTTTATAAAAGTGTGTCAACATATCAGCAAGAAACTTTTGGTCTATTATAGAGGCATATTTCTAATCTTCTTGCTTTAAAGATTTATTTAAAAGTGGGTTATTTATAAACAAAAAAAAATGGTTTGCAGGAGTTCTTTAGAAGTTCAATGAAAACCTAACTTTTGACAGGAAGAAAAAAAGAACTGTAATTAATAAATAACAGAATAAATAAATAATAACACAAAAAAATGGAGACAAGACTGTCAAGGTATCAGTCACAGCTCAGAGAACTATTTACATGTACCATGCTTTTTGAAATTACTGAATCTACTGCATAACCAGGGTTGAGCCCTAATATTGCAAATACACTCTACTGCTACTAAATTATTCTACCCTTTTCACTATTTATTTTTTTACTGCTTGAACTGTAGATTTATTTTTTAAAGTCTTTTAAAGCTTGGAAATTGCCAATCGGTCTTCAAGACAAAAAATAAACATGGAATGCAGGTGAATGTTCTCAAAAAATTTTAAAAAGGAAAGATAGTAAAATGGTTACACATTAATTTTATCATCGAGGTTGTAGAGCTGCATGTACTATCTATTTTCCTCTTTTATGATTCTCTAAGATTGTCAGTGAATTCTCCTTTCCAGAGCTGATAAAAATGGTATCTTCACATTAATTTATATTTAATATCTACAGTGTCCAAAGATATTTTCTTGCTACAACTTGTATTAAATTGCTATCTCACTTTAGAGATTTGACACCTTTGTAAAGCAATAAAGTAGAAACAAAATATTTTGCCTATTCCCCTGAGCATTTTTCATAACCTTATTTCAAGATCACCTTTATTTACAGTGTCATCAAGGAAATGAAAAACAGATCATACATTAGCCACCAATACCATTGTTTACTGTACTACTGTGCCCAGAAGAAGCCACTTGCTGCCATTACCTGAGTCCTTTTTTCCTGATGTGACATTTGGTTGCTGTTAACAGCTGCCATTTCATAAGATCAGATGACCTGTCTTGGTTTAACATCAATTTCTTTTTTGCTGGCTACCTTGGGATGTTGTTAGCTCCAATTAGAAAAGCTGATTTGCATTAAAATCTCTCTTAATGACCACATTAATTGACTGCAATTAATTACCTACATCTACACATAACAGTGTGTTGATGACATAATGAAATAATATGTGTAATTAAAAGTGGATGATACTTAAAATAATTAGGGCTTTTCATTATCAAATAAACAAAAAGTTTGGTGGATTAAAATAACATTTTCCAATTAAAATGTATCTAAACATACCACAGCTTCCAACTTCAAGTAGGCAAACTTCTGAAATTTGAAAAACATGTCTGGAAGGACACATGCTATGTTCATAAAGTGAGATTAAAAAAAAGATTAAACTTTAAACTGAAGACATTTCAATTTCATGCAGGTGAGGGATGCTATCATTAATTATTTTACCATATATTCCTAAGGGCTATGTATCTTTGTATTCCAGATGGTAAAATCTCAATCTTGTTTTAAATGAACATTAATTTTTTCCACTTAGATGCATGATTCACACTATTGTACTCATTTAAATTTTACAGTCCCTCATATTTTGACAATCCAACCAAGAAGGTTTTGTTGTTTTATTGTTTTTTTTTTTTTTTAATATAGTCACTAAGAAATTGGATTATAGACCTTCCTCTGCTATTCCAAAGAAAAATTTATAATCCAGCTTTACAACAGAACCCTGGCTTGACTACTTGTAGGGCAGTAGGGCAGTAGCATTGCAGGTCAATACTCTAAAAGCATTATTTTCCCTTTAATATAAAAATTGTATTTGCTTGTAAAAAAATAAAAACTGAATGTAATTTAAAAAGGTGAATATATGAAGGGTCTTACTCTAAGCAGAAATTCAAAACCCCTACTATTCATGTCAGCTGCTGTAGGACAAGGATTGCCTTTGCTAAGCAGGTATATTGAGAGACCAAAAGCTACCAACTGGAAAAAGCACCAGCAAAGGCAGCTTAGTGCAGATGATGAAATCTTTATGAGTTGTTTTTTTCATATTCTGGTAAAAGCAGAAGAACAGAAGTTTAAAAAGTAGTTTTTAAAACTTTTGATATTATCGAAGTTGTTCTCAGAGTTTATTTTTCTTTAGAGCTTCATGAGATGTATGGTCTTAAACTTAACCAGTGGTTATCATTCTCTGTAACCTTATTTCTTTGGTCAATACTTTGCACGTTTCTTCAGAGCATTTTAACAGAAATGGTGGAAATGATTATTCACTGAATTCAAATACTAAGGATGAGAATCCTCAAGGCTGAGAAAGTTCTCAACCCAGAAGAATAAAAATCTATATATAAAAATAAAAATCTACTATACATGTGAAGGAGCTGTCCTGTTTCATTTTAAGACATTAGAACTCTTAATATGGACATTTACAAAGAAGTCAATTGTTTGTACACATACTGTATGGATTGTATTCACAGCATTTTAATACAATAGAATACCTGTTTCTTGCACTGCATTTTCCCTACATTTTATTTTTGGCTTGTGAATTTCATTTAGATTCAGCACTTGTGTAACTTGTGGGACATCAGAATTGATCTGGCAGGTTGGAGGAATATCATCTGAGGCCTCATATGGCCCAGGTGTAACAAAGCACATACCTAGAATCAAAAAACATGGGCTTCACTTCATGGAATTCAGTTTCACTTATATTATTTGATAGATTACATATACTTTAGTTCATATAGCTATAAAACAGAATAGATTATGGCAATTTGAAAAATTTGCTGCAATTTGTAATTTTTTATTGTAAATTTTAAAATTATATTGTGTATACTTTTAGGCCAAAAATTTTGAATACAATTAAAGAAATATACACTAATGGCTGGAATAGCCATAGAAAACCAACTTCTTTGATTTGCCAAGAGGGCAAACAAAAGAATCACAAAATACATTTTGTTCACTTTTATTACAACTCAGCTTTAATTGTAACACTGATACAGTGATTTTCAAATAAAATAAACAGCTGAGTATGATATTCACATCTGTGGGACTGAAGTAGGAAACAAGTCCCATATATGCAAATAAAGAATTTAACAAGCTTTAATTTCAAACTTGGGACACCATTATGCTTTCATTATAAACTAAGAAGCTGTCAACCTACGTATTCTTGTGACACCAGACACTAGCAGAATGTGAGCTGATTATCTCTGCTTTCCCTTTGATAACCAATATAGACTGAGTTTATGAAAGCTGCTCTCTACAAAGAAAGGAATCCCTGTCAGAGCCATTCCTGATGTTACAATGCAAATTCATTCCAAATTTTAGAAGACTTGAATATAATAAGCTAATGAATTTGCCTAGTTTCCAAGAAAAAGAAGAAAACACAACCTGAAACCCAAACATGAATAAGGGATCAAATATTGATATTTGAATAAAAAAATTCAAATGTCCCATGTTGCATTTCAGTGCAGGACATGTTTTTTCAACCAATTTTTTTTTTGCCAAACCAGTACATTATTTATCCCTGTTGGGCAATGCTTAGTGATAAAAACCCGTACATAAGTTCTGCATTACTATGGAAACAAGAAACTAGGTATACTTTAAGCTTATATGCTTCAGTGTCACGAAGCATAAAAGATGAAGTATTTCCTTTTCTATCTCAGTGATCTCATACAGAAATAATTTCTTTGTATGTGTGGTTCCTCCTTTGCATTTACTATCATTTAAAAATTTCAAAACATACTGTATCCTTGTTACTCGAAAAGAGTAACACACTCATTGCACCTTGAAATCAGTACTTCCCCCATACCAAGGAGTTTGAAGCAAAGAACTCGACCCTTGTCCTGGTTTCTGCTGAGACAGATTTAATTTTCTTGTCAATAGCTGGTAGAAGGCCGTGTTTTGGATTTGGCATGTGCCCAGTGCTGACAACACATTGATGTGTCAGTAGTTGTTCAGCAAACCCAAACTGCCCTGTCAGTGAGCAGATGGCAGGGGGGCACAAGAAGGTGTGAGGGGACACAACCAGGACAGTTGATCCCAGCTGACCCAAGGGATATTCCAGACCACATCGCAGTGTGCTCAACATATCAGCTAGAGGGAAAGCTGACTGGCAGGAGCTGCTGGTCCTAAACAAGTTATGCAAATAAAAAACAATTGTTCTTCTTGGTTTTTTTAATCTTCTTTTTTTCCCCCTTGTCGTTGCAGTTTAGTATTATTAAGGTGTTATTATCTTAACCCATACATTTTCCTACTTTTACCCTTCTGATTCTTTCCCTCATCCCACTGGGGAGAGTGGTTGTATGGGGCTTAGTTGCTGGCTGGGGTTAAAGCATGACAACTTTCATTACAAGTTGCAAGGTCACTGCATTCAGTGGAGCTCAACTAACTGATCCAGTCATTCTGAGAGGGAAAAAGCTTTATCAAACTTAATTAATAATAACATAAAAATCTTACTATTATTTTTCTTTGATTGGGCATGAAGTATAGAATAATTTTAATTCAGCTATACCTTCATCTGTAATGAAAATTTAAGAATTTAAATTGTCTAGAGAACAAGTTTAGAGGAGTAGCTGAGGAAACAGGGGTTGTTCAGCCTGGAGAAAAGCAGGCTGAAAGGAGACCTTGTAGAGAGGTAGGTGTTGGTGTCTTCTCCCAGGTAACAAGCAGCAACACAAGAGGAAATAACCCCAAGTTGTGCCAGAGGATGTTTAGATTGGATACTAGGAACAGTTTCTTCATCAAAAGAGTTGTCAAGCCCTGGAAGAGGCTGCCCAGGGTGCTGGTGGAGTCACCATTCCTGGTGGTATTTAAACCCATGTGGGTGGGGTTCTTAGGGACGTGGTTTAGTGGTGGCCTTGGCAGTGCTGGCTTAACAGTTGGACACACAAGACCATAAAGTTCTTTTCCGACCTAAACAATTCCATGATTCTGATTCTATGAATTGCCTAGATAAGGAAATTCAAAAGCATACAGAAAGTACTAATGCCCACCAGCTGTGTAATAATCATAGAATTGATAATGAAGTAATTAAAAGTGTAATATTTTACAGTTTATTAAAGCTGTTGACTCATTATGTTAACTGCATTTTAGAATTTTGCAACTCATTTAGAATATTTAAGCACAATTCAGAAACTGTTTAGAATGGAAGGGAAAATACAATGCACCAATGGAATTAAATTAAATGAATGCCAGTGAGAGCTTGAACTGCAGTTCCCTGCTGAGAATTTATCATATTCTCTCGGTAGACATTTTCTAATTAATATTTTTTCCAATCTTACCAACAAAAAATTAGAGGAGTAATCACAATGTTTGCCTACTCTCCTGTATTGGTATAGTGTTTCCAAACAGAAGATACATTTTGCTACACTTACAATACTGATAACTACCCCTCCTTCTGAAACTAGAAACGTTTTTTCAGGTATGTTCCTTAAAACCCACAAAATGAACATTTGAATGAAATAGAAGCTCAGCTATTCCTAGGGGTGTATTTAAAATAAGTAAGTGCCAGCTGTGCTTTTTAAATTTCTCCTCTATTACTGCAAATACCAGTGAGGAATGAAGTTCTCTCCTTGGAAAATGATGATTCAGAATTATGATGTGAATCTGGAGATTGGTAAACTTGACCAATATCCTGATCTATTATAAAAAAAACTGTCATTTTTTCAGCTCACCACCAATACTACTTTCCCAACAAACAAGGCCATATTAGGATAACTGGATATGATCTGAGGTACTTTTTATAGTTCCATAGCTCTGTTTCATATAATGTCTTATTACAATTTTGTCTGCATTATTTCAAAAAGAAATCTTTCATCAGCTGCTGTCCAAAATTAAGAAAATTGCTGTTTTCAGTACTTCTCTTTCCTGTCAGATACTCAGTTCTTGGCCAAAACCTGATTTCTATCAGCATTAGATACTGTCATTAAAACAAGCTCTCTACTCGATAAATCTTAATCTAAATTTATCTACTTGATAAATTCTGTAGAATTTCAATAAAATACTTCTAAGGAATTCAGTGTTTAAACACAGGAGCACACACATATTTAATCAGTTACCTTGAGTCCAACACTAGCAGACTTAATATGCTGTACTACCACTTTAATTTTTATGAAATCACACAATCCTTCAAATTGCCAATTTGATGAATAAGAAGCTTTTCATTTTATAACAAGAACAGTTATGATTAAGACTAGATAGTAATTAAAACACACCATCCTCCTCAGCTGTATCTTGCGGCTTGAATTTTAAAGTGAAGATCTTTCTTAGCTTACAGTTAGCTGAAATAATAATTCCATCCAAAGACCGGAAGAAAGCTCCTCTGAATATTTCATAAGTAAACGTTACCAAGTCAATACACATATTGCACCACTAGAAAAGAAAAACAATACTCCTTAGTAAAACCCATGAGCTCAGGCTAACACACCTTCTATATATATAAATAAATAAGATGGCCTTGAGGAGAAATGCAGCAATTTTCATTCAATTTGCAAAACTGTAATATATATGATTACTCGTGTAAAATTTAGCTGATCAATGGTTGAAATTTTAAGGGAAAAGAAAACTAAAAACATAATGTATATGCCAAATTTCCTTATAAAGTCAAGGCAGAAATATTAGCTTCTAATTGCCAAATAGCAAATATTTTTGAGAAGAAATTTAGGTGCATACATTGCTGTTCAGGTCTTAAATCTGAAATTTTGGAAGGAAAGTAATACTTGAACACACCAAGAAATGGACTGAAAAATTCAGTATTTAGTTATAACTGATACTGCTAGTGATGAGGTTGAAAAACAGAATAATTTGTAGAAATACAATACAGAAAGCTAGCATGTGAAAATGCAAACTATATTCTGCTGATGGAACAAACAACTTATTATATGTCCTGATTCACAACCCCTCATGCTGATAATAATAATCAGTTTGTGTATACAGTAAGTTGAACTATCAGAGCCATGTAAAAGATCTATCTTATCACTGAAAGCAGCATTCTCCCTCCTTTAAGCAAAAGCAATGATAAAGGGCAGATAACCATTTAAAGGAGACAGATATGCATTCAGATACACTAAGGAATACAGATCTACTCTTTAAGGTTGGTCAAGCATTAAGGTTATTAAAATACTTTGTCATTATAAATGATCAGAGCATCTAGGCAAATCTGATTCATGCTTTATTATCTAAATTAAAATACATAACTGAAGTTCATCTTCTGCTTGAATCTAATTTGGTGTACATTTATGCACATTTCAATCCTGAAATACCTATATTAGTCTGACACCAACTAACTGAAATTACAGTGAAGAAAAATAATTTCATTTCATTGGATTTTGAATTAACAGCAACTTCAGGGGTATGAGCCGACACATAGTCACTAAAAAAAATCAACTTCTTCCCACAAAGCAGAAAACTCCTCAATTTTAAGTTACCACAGTTGCTTTCACTTAACCTATCTCAAAAAAAGTGATACATTCAGAGTTTTTTTGTAAGATATTCTCTCTCATGTCTAGCCTTAAATTTGAAACTGCTTTGTATACTGTTATCTAATTCTCTTCATGAAAATAAACATTGTAAAGTATTTGAAATCTAACTATTCTCATATCAAGTTTATTTTCTAGACCAGTATTTGAGACTCCAGTCCTTACATGGTTTTGGAGTAACCATCAGGCTTTGTATCCTGTCAGCTATTATCATAGGTTGAGGCTGAGCATGGGAGAGGGGAACGATGAGAAGATAATGGTTATTGTTTTGTTTTCATCAGTTTGACACACAGATTGTTCTATATATGCCAGAATATGGAAGAACCTGAAGAATGTGAAAAAAGAAATCAGCTACAGTCTACTTGCAGCTCCAGTGAATGCCATCAAAGGTCACTACAGGAGAAAGGATGTGAGCAGGAGCACTGTCATGAAGTATCAGGGACACAGAAAATTTTATAGAGGCTGGATCAACAGCAGAGGTGAAGAAACATCACAAACAGCAGTAATTTTGTAAAATGACAATGAATTCCTAATATAAGAAGGATAGAAGAGGTGCAGCACTGAGTGGTTCTGCTTCCATCCAGTAAAGGGGATATACACAAGTATCTTCAATCAGTAGCAGCTGAGTTCTAAACCAAGCAATCATTTCAAAAAGTTCATAATATACACAAAACATTTCTGATTAGAAAACATGCTCAACCTCAGTCCAGGCAATATTCCCAAGGTACCTACTATTTTGCGCTTGATCATAAACAGAGGAATTTTTGCATGCAGAGGGGTTACAGACAACTCCTTGTGGACTGTTGACAAATACAATCTTCTTTTAATATTCTCAAAATCAGTTATCCTATAAAAGAAAAGTCAGGAGAGAATGGAACAGATCTTTGTTAATTCAATAATCCAGTATCTTTGGGAAATCATAAAAAACCTGTTCATGTGCAGAATCTTTATGTCAGTGATAGCAAATATGGAATTTAAAAATTCTTTTACAAAATGAGTAATGAGATTTTTTTATCCAATTCAAACTTTGTGGCTATATCCCTGCATATATAAAGTCACTTTACATGCTAATTTCATTTCAACAGTCTACACTCTTTGCTAGATTTCCACAGCCCTTCAGAGTATGAAAGAATTCTATTTGTATGAACTGAGAACCCAGTAGCCTTTAATAATCAAAAGTGCTTTGGCCCCTTTAAGCTTGTGTTATCTTGGAGCCTGCTAACTAGAAAAACATTATTTGCTTTATTTTCCTAAAAATGCCTCTGTCACTGCATATAGATTATTTTCAGCTTAAAGGTAAACACAATACATTGTCTGTCTGTTTTACTTCATGAGAACATATCTTCAAAGATGAATTATAATGTAGAAGTTTATTGCTCACCATTCAGGTCATCTCACAATGATACCAAGGACACTGAATTTCAACATTTGTAATAAATTCAAACCACAGTCATGATCACAAAAAATTATGCTTCCTTTCAACTGATAAAGGGGGTAATTTTTATGTTCTGTTTCCTTCAAGTCTTGTTAGCAGCTATACTGGTTTCAGCTGGAACACAGTTAAGTTTCTTCAGAGTAGCTTGGAGAGTGAAACGCTTTGGGTTTGTACTGGAAGCAGCGTTGGTAACTCAGGGATGTTTTCATTGCTGCTGGGCATTGCTTTCAGAGTCAAGTTTCTGCTCCTCCCCTCGTCTCACCACTCAGGAGGCTGGGGATGTGTGAGGAGCTGGGTGGGGACACAGGACAGCTGATGCTACTGACCCAAGGGGTGTTCCATAACACGGTGCCATGCTCAGCAGTAAGAACTGTGGGGAAGGAGAAGGAATGGGGAAAGTTCAGAGCTGTGTTTGTTTTCCCATGTAGCCATGACACAGCATGAAGCCCTGAGCTCCTGGAGATGGCTGAACATCTGCAGGCCCATGGGAAGGAGCTAATGCCTTGTTTAGATTTTGGTTCAATGTGCAGCTTTTGCTCTCCTATTAAACTGTCTTTATGTCAACGCACAAGTTTTTGCACTTTTACCCTTGTGTATTCTCTTCCCAGGAGACAGAGGAGCTGCTGTGGCTCAGCTGCTTCCTGGAGTTAAACCACAACAGCAGCACAACTTTGACATTATCCAACAGTCCTCCCTTAACACTCCAAAGCACAGATATTACTTCAAAGGCTGCAGTCTGGGAGAATATGCTTAATGTGTGGGGAAACAATGATTAATTTACCTATTATTGTTGAACAAGCCTATTTTCAACAGATGGGTGTTTCTCTGTAATTAGCAGCCCCTCTGAGAAGATGACAAATAATTATAATAAACAACTTTTTGTCACTACTTAGTGTTGCTGAAAGTCATTACTCATAATCATTCAAATGCTGGGTTTTACTTTAAAATAGTGAGACTGCCCTGTAGACTGTTTTTTTTTTCTAATTTATTACTGAAAACACTTTTCATTAGCTAAAGACTACCTGTACCTTAAATAATGAAATGTCACCGCCCAAAATTTGCAGAATAACACCCTAAAACATTCATAGGTTTCCTTAGGTCAACTTAGGAGGACATTAACTGCAGGGCAAACTACATACTTTAGTTATATTTGCCGATTTGAGACTTTAAGCAAGGACAGTACAAAATATACTGCAAGTATGTAAATATCATAAGGTTCTACCAGTACAGGCAATAAAAACACATAAGTACTTTTTCGTTCCCCCATAGTCATTAAGACCATCATCCAAAGCAAATTGTTCACCAGCTTTCCAGAACTTGCTCATCTTTCCTCTCTCTTGCAGACAACCTGACCTTTAATCTATTCATCCTCATAACATGGGTGGGCAAATGAAAACAAAGTGGAAGACTCTACTGTCTGTTTCAATTTGAAAGACTGGCAGTTCCTTGTAAACCACATGTACCTGAAAAGCAGAAATTCCACTATTGTGACAAGAAAAAAAAATTACATCCTCACTATTGCTATTGTTTGACATGAGAGATTCCAGAATCAGCTGCACACATTTTTATGAATGGACACATAAAGTCCTTGAAAAGTGATTTCATCAGAGAACCTCCAAGTATCTTACAGTGCAGGTACCTGGGCTTGATCTTACTTCTGAAGAAGTTTAAGCAAGATGTGAAATAATTCCCTTAAGATCACCAAATGGGCCACATAGCTAAGCCTTTGTCCCAGATTCAGGCACAGTTCCACCCACCACTTTACGTCCCATATGGCCTTTGGTGAAAAACCTATGAATTTAGTTTCCAGAAACTCTTCACTCTAAATCTTGGGTGTTCAGAAGTGCTAAAAAATCGGTGCATCAAAGAAGTCCAAGGTATTGGAGCAATGGTTGCTTGAAGCTCTCTGGATTTCCTGGTCAGGTGTAGACTGAGCAATTGTGCTGAGAAACCAGGCAGTTGCAATAACCTGAGTACTGAGAAACAAAAATACTATCCCTGCTGAACCTCAAACTTCAACATTCTCAATAGAGAATGTTGCTTTAAATGAGGCTATAAGAGAGTGGTAGGAGCCTAGAATTAAGTCATGCATATCTCCAAACAACTGGCAATAAAACCCAAGTTCACTCTACACTATCAGTTAAATATGTTTATATTTTATTATTTATTTCTTATATGAATATGTTTATCTCTCTCCCTCAGGAAAAAGTAAATGCCTTGGTTATAGAAAGGCCATTGGTAAATGTACAGCTCAGTTACATTCCAAAATGTAACACTAAACACATTTGTTTAGCTCAAAAGACATAATTTTATATCAGACTCTATCATATAAGTCTAAATTAAGACTTTTTATGATGATAGATGTGCCGTAAGGAAGGGGCAAAGCTAAGATGCATAGATATAATCACTTCTAAAGAAGTGTAACTTATTTCTGTAAATACATTTAAAACAATAAAAATACTTTTATTCCACAGGCAAAAGTAGGTGAAACATTCAAACAGGCAAATTTAAAAAAAAAAAAGGATGACCTTAAAATTATATAAAATAATTTATTTCTCAGGGGAAGGAAGATAATTTTTTAAGAGTTAGTGTAACTTTCACACTTTTCAATTACATTGCTTATTGGAAAATAAAAATAAAGGAAGAGTCTGGAGAAACTATTTTCTGAAATAATTCAGATAAGGGGAGCTAGAACATCAGATCTCAGTTGCAAAATTACTCCAGAGTACTTCTGGTGAAACTCAACTTTCTTTTCCTGCTGTCCAAAAGCAGAACTTAGGTTAAACCTACAATGGCAAGAAACATCTGCAGCACACATCTTGATTTTCAAAGATGAATTAAAAAAATCTATATGGGAGTTAATGTATTTTTATTATGTCTGTGCTTGAGTATTTATGTCTAAGGGTCAGACGTGATAGAAAAGTAATGAGACCATGTTGAGAAAAATGAGGTAGTCAACAAGAAAATCAACCTCATTTATAATAATATTCCTGTGATCAGCAGGTGCATAACTCCTCCAGCTATGGTCATTAACTGCATTCATTTCATACTTAACATCTACATTTGCAAACCATTTGAAAGTAAAATTACCTTCCAATTCAATTTTCAATTTTATTTTACATCTTCAAATTTGATTGACTATTTTCTTCACAATGGTAACTACAGTGAGATTGCAAGCAAATGGTAGCAACTACCCAAGAGCACAGATAGACTCATCTGCTCAAACTGCCTATTCACTTTGCTTCTGTATGGATAATTTATAACCATTTGTTAATGTTCAATTCAAGGCTGAAAATGAACTTAGAAAAAAACAATACTGAACTGTTGAAAGGATGCTTCATTTGTCAGGATCACTTGGTCTTCAAATGAAAGTGTTTTTCTCTTTATAAATGATGTAACCTGGAAGTTTACCAAACACGAAAGTAGGTATTTCATCAATGTTGCTAAGGTAAGAGCAATTGCCATGCAATTTAATACTAACAGAAATCTCTTTGTATCCTAATCCTTGTCAAAATCCAGAGAGAATTCTCTGCTAATGCTTCACTATTAGTACATTAGTATATTAGTACTTCACAATTTAGTGCCATTTTCTCTGTAAAAGGCATATGCTTCCTAAATATTAGACAGTAGCATCATTATCATCATCATCATCACCTCCATTTTAAAGACATAAAACAAAGGAATAGCAATTGTCAGCTGATTTGCCATGCTTTCAGATTCTCAAGTTCCCTTATTCAGGAGCACCCTGTATTTCACATACATTTTATTTTATGTGCTACTTGTAAATTGGTCTCTTGTTGGAGATACTACCTTACTGAAGTGGCTGCCTGATGATCTGCAATCCAGAACACTGCCCTCATAAAAAAAGATGTACTTATATTGAAAATCAATCAAATCTCTACAAAATAAGAGATCTGGAAGACTGGTATGTCACACAGACCTATAGAACAAGTTATATCGTGTACTGGAATTTCCTGTTGATTGTGTTTTTTCTGGAGAGCATTAAGGAAAAAACCCCACAAAGTGTCCTTAACCAGTATCCATAAATGGAGTAACACAAGTGGCAGGCACAAAACAAGAATCATCAAATCTAGTTGTTAGAATAGAAATCTTTCAAAATATGAGCAATTATGAAGAAATGGTGAATCATGACCTCTCCCTACAAGATACTGACATATTTGTCATCAATTCTCCAAATAAAAAAATAACCTGGCATTTTTCTGACCAAGAATAACTTAGTGTGAAAGTTTAATTACTCTTACAACTCCACATTTCACAAAAAATTCTGGAAGTGCTCACTAATATTCATAACATATATTTTAGAAACTTCTATCAATATTTTAATATCCTTGGTTTTGATATAAGCTCATCTTTGTCTTATTTTCAAGTATTTACTAAATTCCATTTTACGGCACAATGTTATGTTCCTCTGAAGCATGGCTAACTTTGCCAAATCATTTAGAAAACCGTAATTCTAGAAAATAGTTTTAAATTTTTCAGTACAAAGTCCTCTAATGGGTATTAATACTTAAAAGTTTAGTGCTGACTTCTTTTCCAGAATCTTAAAAAAGCACCTCTGAAATGTAATTTATGCGTGCAGCAAGTTACGTTGGCTTTTTAAGTTCATTGACTGTTATTTTTTTCTGCTTTGTTATTTTTCCATGAATTTTCTGTTCTGAAGAGACAATCAATCTTTTCATCCATCCTTTTGAGACAAAGGAAAGGATGTTTGCACCTGCTAATGTAATAGTTTTCATAAATACAGCCATATTTTCCATATTTAAATTATTTGTCCTAATTCCTAAGAATTACTATGGAGTCTTCCCTTTAAAAAGACAAAATCAACTTTCTTGCTAACAGAATTGACTTTATTTTGCATATAAAAATCTTGAATAACAAACCCTACCAACCAAATATAAACAGGATTCAGTTTACCTCATTCAGTTTACTTACATTGATCAACCAACCAAAATATAAATAATTAGTACTTTGCTTCCATTCTGCAGTTCTAGAAGATGTGATGACTGGGAGAGTTATTAAAATTTTTTTACTTTCAAATATGTAAGTTAAAATCTGCTTTGTAAATGATGAAATTTAACATACCCTAATACTTCTAAGAATGTTTCTGTATTTCACTGGTGTTTCACAAAAAAATCAAGGAACACGTCTCATGTTACTAAATACCAAAATTTCAAATAATTTCTCAGCTAAATCTATTCAATAAAGTTCACCTTCCATCTCTGGTAAAAATCTTCCAATAATTTCAGATGCACATGATAGAATTAGCATCTATGTCCTGCTTTGAATTATAAGAGGTTGGTCTAAGTTTTGCTAGACTAACCAAGATTCATATTGTTCTGTATCTGAAAACATGCTGGGTGTTTAGGTTAACATGAATAATTTATGATATCTCTGCCAGCAAAGCTAAAATGATGACTGATTATGATAGCATCTAATTCACATAAATTCAAACTGTTATGGTATCTATGAATAAATTAGCTCTGCCTGTAAAACCTATTATGTTGTGGTTATTAAAAAATCTCAAAGTAATAAGCTTGTATTTATAGAAACAACTGTTTGAAAACAGGAAATATAGTACCAAAATATATATGCTACTGTACTGTTCACAGGCCTTGTAATAAGATTTCTTATCAGCAAGCACAACCACTTCAGGGATAAAGATTTTAACCCATTTTTCCCTACAGATTCCTTCATACATAACTAGCTTCAACAGAAGACTTATCAGGTATGTTCCAGAGTTTGAAACTCTCACAGAGCTTGCATTAATTCAGAATATAACAAGAGCTGATGCATTCTGGAGCTGGCGAAGACTAGTGGCAAAACTGATTTGACAATGAACAGTGTGATAGTAACTGAGCAAACCTGTTGGTAAGTGTTTTGCCAGCTGAGCAAAGGTTGAAAGGTTGAGGTTGAAACAGGAAGAATTACGAAATTAAGAGACATAGGTTCCATTAGAGTGAATGAGCATGTTGTGATCCCCAGTGCATTCTGGCTGGAAAGATGGTCCAAAAGGTACTGTGTGATTCCAGGAAAGGGAAACACAGCAGAGCCCCAGGGCACGTTAATACTGAACACCAAGTCTGGGTTCGGGGGCAGCAGCAGCTTCCACTGACAACGAGCACGTTTGCTCTGCACGTTTTCATGTCAGAGGCAAGGGGATCTCATGAGAACTGAGACATCCCCAGCTAGAACCTGTGCCACAAGTGATTTACAGCTGTTTACCATACAAAGATTTAAACAAGTTTGAAGCAGCATGAATTGGCCACCACTGAGAGAGGCAGTGTGACTTCAGAGCTGCAGCAATGGATGAGTAAATACCATGTCTGAACTGGGAAAAAAAAGGTTGAGCAATACACAGGGACTCATACAAGACCACAAAATATTCCAGTACATAACCAGGAATTGAGCATCTCATCCTTGTTCTTACACCAGACCAGTCTACTCTTTTTGTTTGGGTTTTTTGTTTGTTTTGTTTTGTTTGGTTTTTTTTTTTTGATGGTACGGTAAAATTTCAAGGTCTGTTTCCTCACACCAACTGCTCTACTCACTTGCTATAAAACTTTCCATTATAAGATGTACTAATTTCATGTGATACCCAACACTGAGAAAAACCATATCAGAAATAAAGTATGATCATGACTGGCATTACAGTTCTTTAAGAATAAATGTCTGAGTGCTTGTCAAAATGCCAAGCAGAAGTATTAACACCCACACGTCGATGTATTGGGAATTAAAGCAAAATGACAACACAAGCCAGATGCTGTTTTCTTTTACATGCAAATATTTTTTCAAACACTGAACTACCTTTGCTTTTTCAGAAAAGTAGCGAAATCCATAACTGAAGATTTAACAACTGGCAACTGCATTTGCAGCAGACAGCTATATTCACCATTACTAATAGCTTTGCTATTATTTGCTCCAAAGAAGCTGCATAAATTACATGCTCCCTACCTTGGCTGTGATTTTATTATGCTTCATCAAATTTTTCATCCACAATCTATTTTACACATTTTTACGCAGATCAATACATTGTTAATGTGGTGGTACTCATCTAATCATGCCATGTAAAAAAGTATCTAAAATCCTATTTAGATTTCCTCCAAAGAAAAGATAAACCAGCTAATATAGACAGTAGTTTGCACATTTCAGTATTTATGGCAGGAATCTTGCATGACTGGTTGAAAGCAGCAAGTTAGAAAGTTTAGCTTAGCTGATGCCAGCAGTGATGGATGGTCTTGAAGAAATTCTTGTTTGCTGACCAAATCAATCACTGAACAGAATGCAAAAGGAAGATGAGGCTCAAACCAAATTCCTATTTCCATCTCTCTGCAGAATGGGAGAGCAAGAAATGTAACATAAAGCTTCATGCCCAGCTATTACAAAACTTGTCAGTGATTTTTACATAAAGTAAATTTCCTAGCTTGAAATGCTATCAGTTTTCACTTGAAGCTGCTCAAACATTCAGCACCAAGTAGTCAGGTTGTGCAAGAAACCATCTTTGAACATTAAACTTCACAAAGCAAACCAAAAGATTGTTGTCTGCAAACAAGCAAGAGATTTCTTTCAAAACCTCTGAAAATAAGGGAACTGAACAGCAGTCACATGAAGCAAGACGGACTTGTCTTTATTATTTACTGGATTATCTTAAGTCTGCTAGGATATAATAATGCATTATCTATTCTGCAAGTCTTGAAGGACTTTACGGGTACAAGTAAGTTACAGTAGATTTCAAATACAAAACTCAGTATTAAAACTATTTTTAAAGAAGTTTTATTAACTTTTTCATTCGGTTGCACTAAGTGGGGAACAATTGATTTTGTACTTTTAAGACATAAACACCTTCATTCAAAGTAACAGGAAATATAGAGAAAATATATAGTTAATATAGTTTATATTATATGCATTATATAGCAATATAGTATATGCTACATAAAATATATATAGCAAAAACAAAATACATGTAATGAAATCTATACAAGCACCAAGAATATTTTAAGAACATATATTTGTTTTTATAAGAGGGACATAGTAAAGATGGGAACAGAAATTAGAAAGAAAAGATTAAGAAAATGTAAAGTCTAAATATAAACTGGAAAGAGAAAAGGCAAATAAAGGTGGGAGGGGTGATAGAAAATATTTTTACAAAAAAAAAGCAAGCAATGAGAAAAATAAAATTAGAAATAGAAAAGAAGTTCTTGTTAAGAAGGTAGCCAATACCCAAAAGAATCAAACTGAACATGACACTACAGAAAAATCTGAATTCCTGCATCTGTCATTAAATCTCTGCCCCTGGCTACAGAATGTCTATGAGAAGTAAATCTTAGTTTTGGTTTGGTACTTGGTGTTTGGTCTCTATGTGCTGCATAACATATCCTGTTTGTTTTGTCCCTTTAAATGTAAACTTACAGAAAGTCAAACAAAAATTAAAATCCTTCTTTCACTTTACATCGTTTCACTGCTAATTGAATTGATATCATTCAAACCATCTTTTCTTGCAGGGCTTCTAAATGGCCTAATATTTCGTTTGTTAATCCAATCTCAGATATTCTATGGCCTACAAAGCTGAGTGAGTTGTGCTGCTTCTATATAAACAGATGGTGTCACTAGGGGAGAAATGTTGTCCAAAGCCTGACAACTGCCCAAGTTTAAAACTCTATTAAATCATTTCACACCTAACTAATAAAAAATTCTGTTTCTGCTGTTACTCTCTTCACAGCATGGAAATAATTATACCAATCGAGCACTCCATTTGTTTTTCTAGCTTTTTAGAATTTGTTTGGTTGTGTTTTTCTCCCCCAGTTATTAGAATATGTATTTCTTTTTGCCCTAGACCAAAGGGCCCTCTCTTATGACCTACAAATCTCTTATGAAGTGTCAGGCAGTCCTCATATACCAGTATTTTCATATGTTTGATATATTTGTGTCCCATTTCTTCAGATTTTTCATCATCTTCATTCAGGATTTTTTTTTGTTTGTTCTGTCTTCAAAGGAATGTCAGTATTTAAAGCATCTAAGAAATAATGATCTCATTAGCTTAATTACTTTTTATTGACTTGACAAGTCACCATGCTTTAATGCAAAATATGCCACCACAATTAATGACTGCAATTAAGAATTCACTTTAAGTATTCAAGGAAATTTTACGCATCTTACAGTAACTCCGTGGAGAAGTCTTTTCCCAATGGCACAAAAATCTGAAGTGTCAGAAATTGCTGCACCAGTCCCACTAGAAACAGGGAAAAAAAAAAAAAAGTGCTGTGTGTATGCAGATGCACGTTTCACTATTGAGAATTTCGATTTTGTACCATATGCTATGCTCCTACAACACTATTTCCCAAGGTTCACACAACATATGAACACAAGAAAAACTTGAAGAAATCCAATTCAAACTGCAATAAAAGTATTGTTTTAAAAGTCCCACCTGTGGCTTTTGTGGAATTCTCATGAAAGCAAAAGGAACCTTTTTTTCAGCTTACAATTTTTGCCCTCCAAGAGCATGTAGACAAATATCCCATAAGAATTATAAAATGAAGCAATATTTTCCTATCAAGATTATCTTATAGTCATGTTAAACTTCCACTCATGTTGGTACACCTTGCTAAACAACTTCAAAAGAACTCTTGGGTAAGAATGCAATTTAGATCATGACAGCATTGCTCAGTGGAGGCTTCTGATTTTTAGAATAATAGCAAAGGAGTCTGACTGAGGGAACAAACAAAAAATTCAGGTAGCCCCCTATCAAGGGAAAACAGTACAGAGCTGTCTGAATTGAACCATATGTTGTTTTCTTAGATATTCCATCAGGGACGATGCAGGATGCTTTTCATTGACTTCACAAGCCTGAACAGCAACATTGGCTCCTCTTCTAAAGAATGAAAAATCAGAACTTTCTTCTTTTGACGGTCAAATAACACCTTAAAACTTCAAATTAGATTTGCATATATAGTTCATATATTTTATTTTGGAAGAGTATACAAAGTTTCAGTGCAACTGGGAGACCATACACTTGATTAATTAAATACTTGAGGTACATACACCTCAGGAGGGGAAGAGACCAAGACAGAAGGAAACAGAATGGTAACAGATGGGAGTCTGACTGCAGTAGTGCAGCACTAGTTAAAGTAAATTTAAAACCAAACTATTTTTAGCAGTGATTACCCACACAATTAATTCTTAATCCTCATTTTAATGTTTAGCAACAGTTAGCAATCTTTTTTCTTAAAATTGATTACTGTTATTTGCTATAGCAGTTTATTATACCATTGAAGATAAATCAGTTTGGTTTCTCAAAAATATACATTTCATTAATATTTATTTTAATGAAGATAACAGCCAATTTCTTATATGAAAATCAGACTAAATTTCAAGGCATTATGGTGTAACTGGTTCAAAGAATTTATTAGTTTTTCTTTTTTTTTTGTGTGTTTATTGGAAAGAACTTATGTCATACTGTATACCCTGCATGAGAAGTATACTAGAAGATTCCCATTCCATTTGTTTAAAATCACCATCTCAATTTTTCTTCAGAAGAAAGCAGTTAATTCTAAACCAGCTCAATTCACTCCCACAGGCCTTATAAGGTACAACACCCCATCATGGAGTTTTAGGCATATGATGACTGCTGTATTGCAGACTGCTTGGATTCTGGTTTATTGTGGTGCAATAGACATCCTGGGAAAACACTCCACACTACCCTTAAACACTGATTACATAAACACAGTGGAAATTAGGGTATAACTTTCTTATACCACTAGTGCTTATTTGATAAAAAAGTAAAAATTCTTAAAAAGGTAAAATGAGAAAGGGGACAGGAACCTAGTTCACATTCATTAATGCCAGTAGAATTACTGACTTTAGTAAGTGCTGAATGGAGTCAGAGGTTATTTATCACACATTGGTCTGTAGCAGGATCAGGTACAGAAGTGAACTTGGCAGCACCAGGACATGTTACATCTTCCCTACAGAAATTAATCTAATGTGGCATTTCTGCAAATTTTACTTTTTTGTAATTGACTTGCTAAAAAGTTAATGAAAAAACCACTTTCCTATGCTGAATTATGCCTGAACTAAGGGAGAACAATGTAAGTTCTTCCAATATAAGATTGATGTATTAATCAGAACAACATCACAGACATTTAATTCTTTGATACTCACAAGTTTGTTTGGTTTCCCTTGGTAGCTTCATTTTGTTGATCAGACTGTTTCCTTCAAGTACAAAAACAAAGCCTTTTAGTTCTTTGTCATATTCCTACAAAAAGGAACAACAAACATAAGCATCCTGATAGACTTCTCCTCCTGACAAACAACCATACTACTAACATGCAAAGCTATTTTTTTTAAATCAGAAAATGCAGATGACACTGCAAGTATGACTGGTTCATATTTGATGGCGAATATGTAATCCACAAAAATATGTCCTTGTGTGATTTATGAACAAATAATGCTGACAAACAGGACTCACAATTCAGTGAGCAAAGCTCAATTCATTGGTTACCAGAATACCAATATTACTTTCTAAATATTTAAACTGTCAAATTACATTGTGACCAAGTCAGTCTGCAAGCAGGCATATAGAAGTAATTTAAGTAGTCATTTAGTCTGCCTTAATGACAGAACTGCAAGTGACAACTCCACTGTCAGGTCAAAGCCCTCATTACCTTCTAATTTTAAGCTTCATTCACATTTTTCTGGTTTATACTCTAGGTTTTATAGATTTCTTTAAAAACTTACTTTTGATATAGCTGATGGGTTGCCAAAAATCTTCCATTTTGCTCCAGGGTTCTTCCCTTGAGCACTGAATATTTCAACAAACCGGCCCCCCTATGATAAAATGGTTTAAGGATACATCATCCAGTCAAATGCTCAGCACTAAATTATCAACGGTCAAGATGGGAACCTAAGAATCCTTCTGTATCACAGCTACCACAGCCAGTATTACTGATCAGTCAGACAGGAAAATACCAATAACAACTTCTAGACTACTATAACATATCATTTCATGTAGTCAATACTTGGCTTTACTAGAAGATCAGAAGATAAAATTGAAGGAATACCATGGTGTATCTTAAATTATTTTATCTATAATGTCATTCTCTAAAGAGCAAAATTATTGTAAATATTCTAAAACCATGCAAGAGATGACTGATTTATATTTGGATAAGATTTATTTCTACAATTTGCCAAATGAAGTGAGTTTTAAAACATGCTGCTAAAAAATAAAAGGTGTTGATTGGATGTTTTGCCTGATTTCCAATGGAAATGAAGTTTACACCATTTGTCTACATATGTGAATGGCTCTGCCTATATATTTTGCAATAACTTTTCTACTAGTTACCAAATTCCAGCCTGATTTGACCAAACAAAAAGTTACTAACTTTTCTGGGCCAGCTTAAGTCCTGGTAGTAGATCTATTCCAGTCAGTATCACCATGACAAGGGTAAGGGCTACGGCCTTCACGAGGCAACAGAGAATTATTAATGGGAAAAGATTATTATGGATATCCTTGTCAGGTGAAAACTCCTGACACAGAGCATGTGCCCTATTGGACACCAAGGAATCTGAGCACAGGCTCTGGGGGAAGCTGGCTTTATCACCTCTGCTTAGAGAATTACTTGCTTCTAGATTTTTGCCATTTGATGTTGCATTTTTTGTGACACCTGATGCACTCAGCCTACAGTTTGCTAAGCATTGTTCAGCAGCATGGTTGGCCTAATCAATCATTACAACTCTGCCATTCCCTTCTCATTTCTAGTTGCCTGCACTCCCCAATTCTCTTTATGCTCAGCTGCCCAAGCAATTGCCTGCAAGTCAGAATGAGCAAGAGGGGCAAGCAAAAGAAATGCTCCTCAGATTAGTTTTTCAGAGAACATCAACTCTGCACTGTGTATGAATTAGTTATTTTCCTCTGCCCACACACACCTGGCAGCTCCAGCCACACAGCTGTTCCCAGTGACTGGACTTAGTAAGTTCTAAGGAAATTTAAAATGGCATTCCATAAACTGCACTCAAAATATTTTTTAAACTTACAGTGGGTGAATTTTTTTAATATGGTATATGATCAATTTCCAAGTTCCCTGATTTATTTAAGGACTATAGGATCAAGCTCTCAAAAACTTAAAAAAGATTTTTAACTGCCAAGCTGTATGTGCTTGCAAATCTTAAAGTATCTTTTTTTTTCCATCTTTACAAATACATTTTGGTAATAGCACAGCCCTTCAGTTGGCCTTGATTTGAGGCTAAACTGAACAGGATGTGGAAAAATACCAGACATGACATGAGAAAACGTCAAACAAACAGTGATGCAAGAAGCTGACAAAAGTTACTCAGTGCTGTGGAGGATGATTGGGTCTCACTGGGGCCCCAGTGAAGTTAGGCAAGAAACTGCTAAACTCCACAATCAACTGAGGGGAGAATGGGGCATCTTTGGGGAGCACAATTCTACAAAGCCAGTGGCAGCTAGATATTAGAAATTCCATGAAAAGCTGAGACAGCTGGGGAACAGCATCAGAAATGTCAAGTTTAGGTACAGAAGTAGCACATCTGGGACCAGTGGGGAAAATGTAGTTGGGGTGGTTTGTTCTCTTGGGATGGGACTGGTGCAGAGAAAGGGAGGCAAAGTATGGTGGAGAAAGAGGCCAGGAAAGAATAAAAGGGGATAATGAAATTCCCAATAATGTGACTGCTGTTGTCACAAGCTTATGCTGGACCAAGGGAATAAATCAACCCCCTTTTCTGACTACACTTTAGGAGCTGGGACTCCTTCCATGACTGCATGGAAGCAGAATTGCCTTCCCTGGACCAAAAGGGTAAAGAACAAAAGCTACTGGCAAACTCACACTGTGCCCATTCTAGACCTGACAGCATCAGCAGCTACCCAGTACTTCAAAACACTTCTATAAAAATACTGAATTATGAAACACTCCAAATACTCCTGTAGCTGGACTTTTTGCCTCCCAGGATAAGCTATTTTAATTGATGAAATGAAAGCGGGTAAAAATTAGAATGATTTCTGTTTTACCTGATAGTGGTTTCTGAACATTTTTTCCAGCTTTCATAGGCAGAAAATAATTTTAGCTTCTCAATCAGTAAAGCCACTTGCAAGCTACGCTGAAAAACAAACAGACAACTTTATATAGGATTTGACATGAAAAAAATCCTATGGTACTCCAGCTATATTTTAAAATATGTGAATACTATTATAAAGTACTTTTCTGAGTAGAAATGTATATCAACTGCATCAGAGTGCTACTGCAAAATAATTAACATCAAAATAAAATTAATATTGACACTGTCTTGGAAAACATTCTCCTTGTGCAGCAGGTACTCAGGGGTGCCTGTTCTTACATTCCAAGTAGAACTAGTAATTTTATGTCAGTCCTTATTTTTAATCAACAAAGACTTTCTTATTCTTTAAAAAGGCTTAAAAATCATCTTTAACGCATATTTTTTATTGTTCTTTGTTCTCAAGTGCCCACTGGAAAACATTAGAATCCATTAAAGAGGAACTGAACATTCAATATAGAAAAGTAGAAACATGGAACAGCTGCTACAGAAGTCTCTCCATCTCGAGGTATTTGGCAGAGACTTCTGAGAGAAGATATCTTTCACATTCAGCACTCTTTGAGGATGATTACTGAGACTCAAACCAAGCACTTCAGTTATGTGAGGCTGCTCAGGTCACTGTGAATTAAGAGATGTCTGCAGCTGTAGAATGGAAACAGTGCAAAGGCAAGGGACTGACACTGGAAGCCTCCCACGTTCCTTGCTGAGTGTCTGGGGGCTCACCTGGCATTAACAGGAAATGAAGAGACCCTGAACATCAAAGGAAGTTGTCACTCCCCAAAGACAGGGAGAATCAGCCACAAGAGAAACAAACACCTTCACTGAGAACTGAAAGTGCTCCTCAACTCACAGAAGAATCTTCTCACAAGACTGGCTCACTTTTATTTGATACACTTAGTTCTGTTTATGTTCAGTTTGGGTAACAACTTAAGAATTAAATTATTTTTAAGCACTGGATATATTTTTAGACTGCAACCAGTTTTTTAACAAATAGAAACAATACGCTGACCAGATGATTATAAATACAGCTTCTCAAAATGACAAGTTCAGCTCTCACAACCAAGAGGTTAAAAAGCTTTCAAAAAATTATGAAAATATATATGACTACAAATGAACTAGAAATTCCGTGATAATATGCATGAGCTCATGAAGAATGAATCCATCTAAAGGATTAGGGCAGCATTCTATTTGAAAAAGTAAATAATCATTCATTTATGAAAGCGTGATGAAATCTATTGATATTTATCCACATTTATTTTAATCTTAAAGTTGTCTGTAAATAAAATAAAAATGGAAAACCAATCAGATATTGTAAATTTATCCCATGCTGTTGACAGAAATATTAGTTCATTTAAAATTTTTTATTATAAGAAAAATAAAATTTTAAAACCACGCATTTGTAACAGGCCTATCAAAACTTGTAATCAGTATTTTGATCAAATTTAACTAATTGTCACTGCACTTCTAAAACACTAATTGCATTATTCTGTTTTAGACCATTTTCTATACAGATTTTCTACTTGTTAGCATATTATTAAAAAAATCACATTAATAGTTATATTGAGCTACTTAATATTGAACTAGATATTTTAGAAATACTTTTCAAAGAATGCACTTCTAAAACAAGTGTATTTAGTATTTTCCTTCTCTCTGAATATTCACTTAACATAAAGATCACTTCTTTCTGAAATCACTGTTCAGTTTTCTGTCTGCAGCCCTATCTTTGTTATTATCTACAGCCTTTAAACAAGCCAGAACTACTCAAAATGGTATGATTTATGTCTTAGTGAGAAGTAGTGGCACAATGAAACTAATCTCAGTGACCTACTGCTTTTATTCCCTTTGCCAGAGCAGAATGTGAAGGACCTGCAGGGAATGAGAGACAGGAGCCAAGCCCTCCTGCAGGACGTATTTACGATGAGTACATCCCTGTAACTCACACGCTGAAGCACCTGTCATTCTAGGAGAGAGGATTTCACCATCTCCCACTTTTCATTTATTATTGAGTGAAGGAGATGCAAAGGAATACACTGCTTTTTCCTTGGGTCAAAGCACTTTCACTAACTTTTGCTTTAAAGATCAGTTTCAGACTTGCCAAGCATCATGCACCTAGCACAGCCCTCACTGTGATGTTATGCCTTATTACATGTCAGGAAAAATATTAGGACTAAATAAATGTAAGGAATTCTGATTTAAAAGTCACTGTATAAAAAGTTTAAAATTCTGAGACTGAAAAGATAACTCATCTCTTTCAGGGACTACTACCAGTATTCTGGTTTAATATTTGTCATCAATGCAGCTGTTTTAAACTGATACTCATATGAACAAGGTATTATTTGCTAATTTGCAGAACATATTTTATCCAGACTCAGAAAACTGATGGCTGTTGGTAGGTATCAAATTCATAACCAGGTGGCTCTTCCTAACTTCAGTGGAAGGTGAACTAGACCCAAAGTTTATAAGCATTTGTGTTTGGACAAGTCATTCAGCTACAAAGCTGGTCATTGTAAACACCTCTGTGAAATCAACAAAATGTCAGTTTATTTTTCATGAAGGCAGGAAAAATACTGCAAGTGACATTGCAATATATCTTTGCTCATATATTGCTTAATTATGACTTACCAAATTTCATTACTGCAAAAGAAGACTAGAAATTACCTTTGCTATTAAGATTGGTAGACACTAAAACCATTAAGTGAACGACATATTTGTCATATAATTACTGAGGTAATCTTAAAAAGTG